TGACATATACCGGTATTATATTACTACAGATACAATGGCAGAAGCTTCAGGCATGTCTGCTGAAGCTCTCAAGCTCAAGATCACAGATTTACTAAATGCAAGTCATGTCGAAATTGAAGATATGTCAGGTACGGATACCTTCAACTGCCCCGCAGTATCCCCGCCATGCTGATTGATTCTGGTCTATAGGAGGTTGTGGGCAGGCATTCTCTGCCGTGATTGTTTCGCCGCAATTCGAGAAGAAGACTACATTGGCAAGGCACAGGTTGGTGAATGGAGCGCTGAAGACGGAGATTGCGGCCATCCATGCCTGGACTCCCAAGTGCTACACACCGGAACAATGGGAGATGCAGAAAGAGGATGGTAAGGAGGCGGTTGCGCCAGGAAAGAACACCAATGGAGAGGTTGTGGATGGGACGACGGCTTGAGAGGGAGAAGGAATCGGAGTTCTGGCGCAGAATGGAACTATACTACAGCTTCCGGGGTGGTGATGCAATCGGACGGGGAGAGGAACGGGGCTTACGGGGACAATGGAGCACGGGGAAGAAGAGTCATGATATACCAAGGAGTCACTGGGAGGGAGAAATTCTGTTTGTGATTGAGCCCTTATTCAATGGGCCATGTGGGTGGTATTTCATATTGGCACTTTCGTAGAGCAAGAGAAATCACTGCGTTTGCGATCGCGATGCTTCTCTACACCCCGGCCCTATGAAGATCAGGAACAGTGTCTTCCAAAGCATTTGTTTAGACTCATGTGGCACTGAGTTCTTCAGTCACAAATTCTAGAGTCCTGCACGCTCAATCCTACGAGGTCCAGGCATATTATTCAAGCCGCTAGAAAGCCAAGATAATGACAAATTTCGTACAGCAAATTGTTGACGTCTCTTTCCAGTTGTCTAGATAGAGCCTTCCATCGCTAGTAATCAGGTCTGAACTTTGCTGATACGCTGTGCAACAACACTGAATACTGCAATAGATGATATGAATAAGACTATGTTGTAGAACTATAATTCATAAGCTGAGAGTGATAGACTTTCAATCTTGAAGAAAACATACAGCATTCCTTGAATACGTGCTCTCTTCAGCATCTGTTCTTGCTTCAACAAAAAGTCTTCGAAGATTGGGTAAATTTGCCTTGGAGAAAGCCATCATTAGTTTCGCAACTCAATCAAAATAAAAAGGGGGATTAATGAATGTTACCATATTAATAAGTCTTCCAGGAGTTTATCCAACAATTTGTTTCATTTGACTTTATTTGACAGGGGATTCATATCCGGAAGCATGATTGCTGGTCCCCTGTTCTTTCAAGATCTAGCGAGTCCTGTACAAAGCGCACCAGGCTGAAGCTATCTGGTATCAACAATCTGCCCACCACTTTGACCCTATACTTCAATTACAACACAATCCACGAATCTCACGATTCTCCCTTACTACACGGAACGCTCGCGGACTCCCTTCTGGAAATTTCAAAGCTCACATTAATCAACCCCTTCCACGAACCGTGGCCTTACCGTCAATCGACAACTTAGCCATCGGCGTATGAGGGGCACCCTCAAGGTCGCCATCTGTGTGAGCGATGGCGGTGAATAGGATTAAAGGTGCCTTCGCACCACCCAAGAAGGGAGAAACATACGAGTTGAGAGCTGGTTTGGTATCTCAATATGCTTACGAGCGCAAAGAAGCAATTCAAAAGACCATCATGTCCATGACCCTGGGCAAAGATGTGTCTGCGCTGTTTCCAGATGTTTTGAAGAATATTGCTACAGCAGATTTAGACCAGAAGAAGCTGGTGTATTTGTATTTAATGTTTGTCGAGACTATCTACTGGGATCTGGATGAATGATGTTGCTAATGTTCACCATTAGGAATTATGCCAAATCGCATCCCGACCTTTGTATTCTAGCGGTCAATACTTTCGTACAGGATTCCGAAGATCCAAACCCTCTGGTGCGAGCTCTTGCGATTCGGACAATGGGTTGTATTCGAGTAGACAAGATGGTAGATTATATGGAGGAACCCCTGCGGAAAACGTTAAGGGATGAATCGCCATACGTAAGAAAAACTGCAGCAATCTGTGTTGCGAAATTGTTCGACCTCAATCCTACGATGTGTCTCGAGAACGGCTTTTTAGAAACTTTGCAAGAATTGATCGGAGATCCTAACCCTATGGTTGTGGCCAATTCTGTAACGGCGCTCGTGGAAATCAATGAGACTGCGCCAGAGACAAAGGCTTTACGGATCACATCTGCGACTTTGAAGAAGATGCTCATGGCTTTGAACGAATGTACGGAATGGGGAAGAGTTACTATTTTGTCTACTCTGGCAGATTATAAGGCTACGGATATCAAGGAGTCGGAACATATTTGTGAAAGAGTATCTCCTCAATTTCAACATGTCAACCCAAGTGTTGTCTTGGCTGCTGTCAAGGTTGTTTTCCTCCACATGAAGAATGTAAACGCGGATTTAGGAAAGCAATATCTGAAAAAGATGGCTCCACCTCTTGGTAAGTGAAATACATATGCCAAAGGAGAACAAGGTGTCCTAGTCTGGACTGGCGGATGTGATAAAAGTTCTCGGTATTCAGAACCATGATTTACCAAGGCAATTCTGTGCTCCAAAGCATTTGAAACGTTTGAATCCAGACATGGAAAGCTTCTGGTTGGACTGCAGTCCGGACTATGGTGAACCTTGAGGGAGGATTGAGCTAACAGATTGTAGTAACTCTTGTTGCTTCCGCACCCGAAGTCCAATATGTTGCCTTGAGAAACATAGATCTTCTCTTGCAAGCGAAGCCAGACATTCTCAGTAAGGAGTTGAGAGTCTTCTTCTGCAAATACAACGATCCGCCTTATGTAAAACTTCAGAAGTTGGAGATTATGGTACGGATAGCGAACGACAAGAATGTTGATCAGTTGTTATCGGAGCTCAAAGAATATGCTCTTGAAGTTGACATGGATTTTGTTCGAAGAGCCGTCAAGGCTATTGGTCAAGCAGCCATCAAAATTGAGAGCGCAAGCGAAAAGTGTGTCAACACGTTACTTGACTTGATTGCTACAAAGGTCAACTATGTTGTCCAGGAGGCCATTGTCGTTATCAAAGATATTTTTAGAAAATACCCAGGATACGAGGGTATTATTCCAACCTTGTGCAAATACATCGACGAATTAGATGAGCCAAACGCGCGAGGAGCTTTAATTTGGATCGTTGGCGAGTATGCCGAGAAGATCAGCAATGCAGATGAAATCCTTGCAGGATTTGTTGAAGGTTTCATGGAAGAATTCACCCAGACTCAACTTCAAATATTGACAGCTGTTGTTAAGTTGTTTTTGAAGAAGCCAGATAACAATCAGGGCCTTGTTCAAAAAGTCTTACAAGTATCGACCGCCGAAAATGATAACCCTGATATCAGAGACAGAGCTTATGTATATTGGCGTTTGTTATCAGGTGATCTTTCGATAGCAAAGGTATTTATGACTGTCCTATTCCCCAATCAAGATCATATCACTAACAACAAATCTAGAACATCATCCTTTCCGATAAACCACCTATTACCACAACCATGACATCCCTTCCCCCAGCACTCCTCGATCAACTGTTGACAGAACTCAGCACTCTCGCTTCTGTATACCATAAACCTCCTGAGACATTTGTTGGCCAAGGTCGCTACGGCGCTGATGCTATCCAACACGCTGCTATTCAGGAACAACGTCAAAATGCCGTCGAGAACCCAATTGCAGCCGCTGTCGCTGCAGCCGGAAATGGTGCTCCTGCTCAAAATAACGCCGAGAATCTCCTCGATATTGATTTTGATGGTGCAGCTCCAGCAAGTGCAGATGCACCTCCCAGTGCTGGAACAAGTGGATTGGAAGGATTGGCAGGCACGCCTCAAAGAGTAAATAGTCCAGCCGCGGGTGTCAATGCTGGTGGTAGTATGGCAGATATGATGGGCTTATTTGATGCTCCTGCTCCTGCCCCAGCTGCTGGCGGCATGGGAATGGGCGGAATGGGGAATGATATGATGAATGGTTTTGCAGGGCTAGACTTGAGTGGTACTAGTCAACCCCCTAGTGCGCAAACGCAGTTACAGCAGGGTGGTGCGAAGAAAACGAATGAGGACTTGTTGGGGATGTTTTAAATGTGAGGGATTGGTAATAAGTAGTGGGTCGATGGTGTTGTGAATGAATTTGGAGGGAATAGATCATTCGTTGCAGCCAGTGATTAGAGATTAGCAAAATCAGTATGTATGTATGTATGTATTCAAGGCAATTCGAAGCAATTCAGCAAATGAGAGTCTGGATGAACGTGAGTTAATATGCTTTCTATATATTTTTGACTATATGAAGCATCATTGAGTCAACATCCATTGTGTATCTGTATCGTAAAAAAAAATTATAGCCAAAATTGTGCCATTTTCAATATCTGATCGAACTACAAGTTGCTAATTTCGGGAAGACATCTATAGCTACAAATTCATAGGGAGCTCACCCGGTGAGCCACTAGATGGAAAATTGTTGAATCTCGGTCTTCACATACGGGGGAATTTTTGCTACTAGTGACACCCCCGACTCTACCTAGGAAGAATATTTGTCTCAAATCTGGCTCTACTCTTCAACTAATCTCTATGCCAAATGCGACTCACCGGGGCGCGGCTGACAGATGTCGTTCTTTGATGGCCCAAGCTTTTGGTAGGCTGCAAGGCTGATGGAATGTAAAACATGAACAAGGCTACCTACTGTATCATTTCGCAAACCATTGTAAGAGCTTACATGCATTCAGGTATTACCTCTCCTCTTATTTCTCTTCTCATGCTATGTGACCCCAATAAAGCTATTACGAGACGACATGTTATGTCTAGTGCGCAATTCATCATGACTAATTTCTAGCTATCCTCTAGAAACACAGTTCGTTCGTTAATTTCTAATAACTCAACAACCACTTCCTTCTCCTCCTCATCTCATCTCACTCCTCACTCCCATCTCCAAAAACCACAGAACAAAAAGATGACCACCCCCACCCCCATCCCCTCAACCCTGCACAAACAACTTCTCCACTCTCTCTCGACCTCGCATCTCCCCCTCCCAAGCCCCACCTTCCTACACTCCATCCTCACCCCCTCCACCACGCACCTCTCCTCACTCCCCTCCCTCCCCTCCCTCCTCGCCACAACCCGTCACCGTCTCCTCTCCACCTCCCTCACAACCCCCAACTTCCTCTCTCCAGAAACCCATTCCCTCCCCCCCTCCCTCTCTTCCCCCCTCATAAAAGAATCCCTCCTCGAAAACGACATCCCCGTCCAAGTCCTCGACATCGAAGACCTCAGCCGCTCGAAAAGCGATCTCCTGCTCGATCTAGAAGCCGAGCGACTCGGCGAACGCACACAAGGCCGCTCAATCATTCGCGTTGCAGACGAATCTTCCTCCTCTTCCTCAGCGCTCGATCTCGGATCGTCAGCATCGACGCAACATCCTCATCAAAATCAAACCCAAAATCAGCATAAATCAAACCCATCCCACTCCCCCGGCCCTTTCAAACTCCACCTTCAAGACCTTACCGGCGCAACTATCTACGCATTCACGAGTGCTCTCCCGACTTCTTCTCCTCTGCAGGACAAAATAGGATTTCCTCCGAAAATGAATATTGGCTGTAAGATACTGTTGCAGCGGGGAACAAGAGTACATAGGGGGATGGTGAGGTTAGAGGCGCATACGTGTATTGTGCTTGGGGGACGGGTGGAGGGATTGGATCGGGCGTGGAGAGAGGGATGGGAGGGGAGACTGAGGGAGAGTATTGAGAAGGGGAGGGGTGGGGGATGATTGTGGAGTGAAGGGGATTGTACGGATGGATGGGAAGCTATGTTGATGGAGATGTTTGGGATCAGTTGGGAAGTTCGGTCGATGGTAGCAATTCTGACATCGATGTGGAAGCATCATATCCATCCATCCATCCATCCATCCATCCATCCATCCGCACCTCGTCGTTTCTATACCCCTCGCGTAGACATCATACGACGATCTATTCTGCCGACGAATTCAAGCTGAGAGAGAGAGAGAGATAGAGAGAGAGAGAGAGAGCGCCATGGCTCAAAGCTCACAGATCCCGATCAATAGGGACAAAAATAGAGCGTCCAGGAGAGAGCAATTTGTATCCGCTATTACTGGATAATGCACGAGAAGAGATACACCATACTTCACGCAATAGAGATCAAACCCCCATTCAATCTCTCTAGAACATCATAAAAGCAAAGAAAAGCGTAGCGGCATCAATACCAATACCATTCACATCCAAACCCAAGTTACCACAAACACACGTAAACATCATATTATATCATATCATATCATGTATGAATCTTTATGAAATAAAAAAGAACCCTAGCAAATGAAAAGAAACATAAAAAAGAAGAAGCTGTACGTAACATGATTTCATGCCATCATAATTTGCATTCCATCCTCCATCCCCATCCCTATCCCATCATCATCTCACTTTCAAAAAAATCATCTCAAATGATATCCCACCTCTGACTAATTCCCAAACCCCCATCTGAATCCCATCCTGTAAATTATGAAAAGAAAATGCTCTTCGAGTCTCCCACTTCCCGTCATCCCACTCTCAGGCTATCCAACTCAAAAAGCAAGTTTGATAGCCATATATTCTTATACCATCTTCGTAAGATTCGGTTATTTAAAGACTCACTTTTGAGACTACACAAATCGAGTGAAGATTGCGTCACCAAGTGAAGCGAGATAAATACGGCCCAGAACAGAAAGTTGCAAGTACAGTTTCAAATGTTTGAAATTTCATACCACAAGTACCTTCCTTCTTTCTAGGACTAAATTAATCAATAGTTCAAGATTTAAATTTCCAAATAATGCGTTGAAGGATATCCGAAGCAATTAAGAACGAAATTAAAGGCAAAGTCTATCTCATGATCTCTTCATAAATCAGTTTTTTGAGTTGTTCCTTGGTAAGATTGTCCTTGTTTTTGTCGAAATCAAAGAATTCTTCTGGGATGGGGTTGGCGGTTGGCTCATCTTCGGGATCGTGGTATGGCTCAAGGTATGGGTGCTTCAGTGCTTCCTCAACGGTGATTCTCTTGACTGGGTTGAAAGCGAGAAGTTTCTCGAGAAGGTCCAAAGCGAGATCTGAGGTCTTTGGGAACATGGTCTTGAAAGGAACCTTCTTCTTGAATGGCAACGATCGGATATATTCTCTTGCACGACGAGATTTGATACCGTAGTAATCTTCCATGGTTGGAGTACCAAGAACGTCAAGAATAAGTGTGAGTTGGTGGTGGTCTATAAATTATTAGCAAAGAGCATCACTTCTATACAGACGTCACTCACAATCCTTTCCAGGGAACAGGGGCTTTCCGCTCAACATCTCGGCCAAAATACATCCAACAGACCAGACATCAATAGCCTTGGTATATTCCTTGAATGTCAACATAATTTCCGGAGCACGGTACCATCTGGTCGCAACATATTCTGTCATGAAACCAGAGTTATCTTCTTGGGATGCAGCCGATCTTGCAAGACCAAAATCGCAGACCTTCAAATCACAGTTGGCATTGAGTAACAGATTAGATGGCTTCAAATCTCTGTGTAGAACATTTGCGGAATGCATAGCTTTCAAGGCTCGGAGGGTTTGGTAGATGAAGTATTGGCAGTGGTCGTCAGATAAATCTTGGGTGCGAATTACACGATGCATATCGGTCTCCATGAGTTCCTGCTATTGCATTAGTAAATTGTCCCATTTCCACCTGATACTGCTCATATACATACCTGAATAAGGTAAACTTCGGTGAAGGACTCATAGTTCCTTGGCTTCTGGATATCGAGGATGGAGATGATGTTTTCGTGATTGAAGTATCGAAGCAGCTTCATCTCACGGAGTGTTCGCAAACAGAACATAGAATGATCGAATGGAGTGATCTTCTTGATAGCGACCTTTTGGCCCGAAGGCTTGTGCAAAGCTGAACTATAAAGAGAAATCGAATTAGCACATCTCCATCTTCTGCAAGTTCCTGTCCTCTGCCTCCATTCGAGATTGTACGAGTAACAAAGTGGGGTAGCATACCAGACAACACCATAAGCTCCCTCTCCTACAACATCCTGGATATCATATTGTTCGCTGACATTGAAAGAGATCTTCCGAGATCCCGAGGCGGGATTGGGCGCACGAGCTGTCATGGTGCAATAATGGGTATATGAAGCAAGAAGATCGTATCTTGCAGAATTGAAGAACTGGAAACTTGTCTACCAGATATAAACACTAATAGACAGCTTTACTGAATGATTACAGGAACAAACTGTAAGTTCTGAAGTTGAAGGATGCTATTTTTATTGTAAATAGAAATGTTGAAGCTCGGGAACTTTTCTTTGTTGTCGTTAGTTGGGGATGTTCCAAGCAATGTCAAAGCAAAGTATGGATCTCTTCACCCTTTTTTGAACCTTGTCTTGCAATATTCTTTCAGCTGTCTCTGGAATAAATTACTGTTGAAAGCTAAATTTGTACAAAGACAACAAGCTTCTGGTTGAAAAGATTGATTGATCTTTCTCGAAAGTAAGTTGTGAAGTGTTCTCAACACTTGTACCTGCTTGTGCTCGGTCCTGTTGTAAAGGTAAAGGTTATCTTCAGATTGTCGCAGCTTTGATATAACTCCAGCAAAGTCGTAATTGCCAGAATGTAACCAGCTGAGATGATCTAGTAGCGAAGAAAGTTGATAGAAGGTAATGGGAATCGTGGTTTATCTGTATGGTCGAGTAAACACAATCAGCATTTCTTGTTCTCTCTCATTTGCGTCCCGCTTTCACATCACCATCTCCTTCTCGCATGGAGACCGACCGACCTTGAAAGATTTTAAAGCTTCCAGAACAACTCGAGACTTCTTCTAACAAAGGCGCAAATTGACTACGAAGATTGTAGACAATTCATCCAATATATAAACAGTTGGGAAAGGAGTTATGCTGTACCTGTACTGTAATCTTTCCCAATATGTGTTCCAGACCAAGAGGTTCAGATTGCCCCGCTACAAGGATGAGGTTTCTTTCTTCCAAGATTTCACGTTGGACTTTTGAATTCGGAGGAAGTTGTCGCAGAGTTGAGAAAGAAGTCTAGGAGAGATGAAAGACTTTTAAACCTCAGATGATAAAGGAAGAAAAGATGGAGAAGAGAAGAATCCTTTTGACAATATGTTTCTTTTCCGAATAGTCAAGTATAAGTGGTAGTTGGTGGGTGATGGGTGATGGATGTTGTTGAAAGTAAAGTAGCCAAAAGCACGGGTGTAAGTGGTTTTGAATGAGGGGGATCTCGGGTGCTGATTGGAAGCTTTTTAGTGGAGTGGGATGAAATGGATAAGCTGGGTCCCTTTTTTTCTCTACCTAATAAGAGGTAAGGAGGTCAAGCAAGCAATGGTCCAAGGTCCAAGGTCCAAGGTCCAAGTTAAGAAAGTCAAAAAGTACTCAGTATTCAAATTCAGGGACATCCGAGAAAGATCTCAAACAGTAGTTAAAATACTTTGGTATTTGGGAGATAAAAAATACAAGTAGATTTAAAGGTAATTTACTAGGAAGTGATTATTCCAGCTAAGTAAGTAGTGGCATTGGTATCTAGATATGGGTATTATACGGATGAATAGACAAGATGCAGACGAAGATGAAGATGAAGACAATTGTAATAGGTATAGAAATGACTGACTTATTATTATTATATTTCCAAGTCAAAGGGACATGTTTCTCAATCAATATCAATATCAAATCAAAGAATCTACCGATGACTTTCTCACACAAAGTAACCAATATATCTACCAACCGCCAATTGCACATTCAAATCACCGCTCTCTCTAAGAAAAGGACCCCACCAAAAAGTCTACTCTTGATAACCTCCCAGACTCAACTCTTTTCCCTCTAAGCGCCCAACTCGAAATTTCAAAACCCCATCACATCGAAATTTCACTTACGAGGTAGGTGAGATCAAATCAACCTCTCAAACCAAACTCTGACAACCACTGGTTTACTATGATTTGAAAAATTTCACTCGCTTATGCGTCTGTTTCACACGGCACAGCCGTTGGTCTTTTCTCATGGAACCAATCAACAGAATTTCGTGTGTGTGGAAATTATACCTAGGTATTCGTGTTACAGTACATATGTTCACACTCTATTCATTAACTACTAGGTAGTAGGTATCTACCCAGGGTGTGAGAGTTTACTATGAACAGAGATACGGTAATTTGTGTTTGATCAACAGCTACTTGCTCATATTCATACTCAGACTCCATTTCTCTTATCCTTCCGTGGGTATGGAGATGATACAAGATGAATCGTATCATCAGAGCGTCCTCGAGGGACCATATCTTGAGTAGGGTCCCAATATTACACAACATTGACAGACACCTAGATTCATCCAACACGAAGATCCATATGTATAGCACCGTATATATAGCCTCCCAAATCCACACTGACATTCGTGCGAGAAGCTTTGCCCTCTCTTTCTAGAAATCTTTCTAGAAAAGATCCATTATGCTCATCTAGACTTTCTACTATAATCTATGCATCATGATATCTACCTTTCTATCTGTTCATTTGTTTCATCCACCATCCTCAATCTCCTTTCACAAACCTCATCATCCCCACAGTCTAGCAAGATAGAAAAACATCACCACTTACGAACCAGCCTGCCTTCCCTTCGTATCTACTCGAGCAGAAACCAGAAAAACATCTCATATAAATTAAGAGGTCCATCAACTGTCATCCACTTCTCAAACAAACATCCAAACGGAGACTCTGGCAATGGGCCATGGCTTCTGAGATGACTTCGATCATGTGGCCCGTGATCTGATCGTCACTCTGATTTCACTCTCCTTAACCTTAATACTTCAATTCTCTTTCGCCTACCCTTCCTCCTAAGTACATCCCATCTCATCACCATAACAGACCACCATTTGAAGATACAACCAAATCAAACTCTACCATTCAATCACCATCACAATACATCCACACAAAGTAGCAAAGCAACAAATCCATCCCTCCCCCAGCGCGAATCTCTCTAAACCCCCCTCCCTATCCTCTCCTCCCCCCATCCATCCCCAACCCCAAAGTTTTGACCTCCTCAATTACAATCGACAATTTCCTCCATCGTCCAAAGCACCTCCAACTACACTACCAAATACCAAGTTCCAAGTTCCAACCGCATCATTCCCTCCACCTACCCTACGCATTACTCCCCACTAGGACCAACCACCCAGAAACTCAAATCTCTCCACCCAATAGATTTCCGTCTGCCCGCCACCCCGTTTGACAATTCTCCAGACGAAACACTTCTTTTATCATCCCGGTCTTTATTCTTACCTATTGGGTTTCACTTTTGATTCTGGAATTTTGGGTAGGTTGTAACTCGTAGGTACTGTAGTCTATTCTTATTATTATCATTGTGTTTATATTCATTTACTATATATGTACCACCTATCTACCTATATTACCTATAAATAAACCCCTCATCCCAACGCCAACACTATAAATATGATAGATAATCCCGAAATTCTATACTACCTCACTACATACCTACAAACCACCCAGTACTTACACACAACCTCCCCAGACCACCGCTCCCAAACCTCAAAGCCCAGACCCATACCTACCTACCAAGAATCTAAACCACAACATCATGCAAATCAATGCTTGATTGCCGGTATATATGCTTAATACCTACTTTAATCCTCCATATCTTCATTCCTTCATTCCTTCATAACTACCCACTACTACTACTACTACATACTCTTCGAAACACCCCCTCGTACCTCTTACCTCTTACCTCTTACCTAGCTTAAGAAGCTCTGGACTCTGGGGTATGTGATCTGATTCTTATCCATATCCATATCTTATGAGTTACGAGCTACCAGGGAGCGAGTATTCATGAAAGGGTGTTTGTAGTACATATACATATACATATACATAGGTATCTAGTATCCAGTATTTACAAATCAACACAAAACACAAATCATAAATATAATCTACAGAAAATCTAAAGCGTCCAAAGTAATGAAAGTTCACACAGTATAAAATATCATATCCCCTATAATCACCATCCCTCATATCTACTAATATTCTCGTACAGATGCCAGGTCTACAAACCATGTCATATTAAAATATAAATCTCTCATGCTCAAACATGAATACACCTATTTCCATCCCCTACATTACATGAAAGCTCCCTCCAGTGACTCGTCACACTCATATCCGTGACCGCAATCCTGCACCTATCTATTCAATCATCCATCACTCACTCAAGTACAAGTCATTCACACCCTACACCTTCCACATACGCACACACAAGCACAAATAATCTCATCTCCCAACAGGGTAGTATTCAACTGACGAACATTACGAATCTCGAAAACACGCTATGAAAATGGGTCCAACTATCAACAACCAATACCCATCATCCCAACAATCCTCAATCAAGAACCTATAAACCCCACTCCGAACACCAAATCATGCTCAAAAAATCCATATACAATCTTAATCTCATATCATTCATTACATCAACGTGCAAGACTTTGAAAACCCCAGCATATTTTTATAGTAGCCCTCATCATCTGCTTCCCCGGTGTTCACATTCTGTTTTCTTATAACCCCCGTGACTTTAATTGAATGTTCACCTTCCGCATGCCACCATCTAAGTCTTTGAATCAACCCTCCATCCGCATCATCCGTACTAATCGTCCACTTCCCCGCGCTAACTTCAACCTCGCATTTATCTTTCGGGAAATGGAACTCGGGAAGGAAGACTTCGGTGGGCATATCTTCGGATGTTGCTTCGCCGGCACGAAGTCGCAATGTAAAGGTACACTTTCGAAGATCGAATCCGTAATCTAAAACCTTACCAACCGTTGCGATGGGGAATGGACGAACATAGGCCTCAGCGGCTCGGTAACCAGGAGAATTGGTGAGTTCAGGAGGGCTATCAGTTTGCTTCGACAAAATTGAGGGAGTTTTCAATGTTGCTTTTAAATTACCTGGATTGATAGTTGACTCGTCTGAGTTTTGTTTTTTGGTATTGGGTCCAGCTGTGTGGTCTACTAGCGATGTACTTGAATCGCTGGGTGTTGGAGGATTGGCTTCGAGTGGTAGTGGTAAATCATCCAAGGAAAAAATTGAAAGATCCTCGCCGTTCCATTGGTCACCGATAGCATGTTTATTCTGTAAATCATTAGTGAAATTCAAGCTATGAAAATTCTGGTGACTTGCCTCGCACATATAAATCCATAGAGCAGAGCCTGCCATAGCACTTCCTTCTAGGGCAAAGTAATTTGCATCCATTGCCCCTGATTGACTAGAATAATCACCAGTTTTGTAAGCATACCTATCATCCATGTCATAAGGAATACCAAATTCTGTCAAAACACATGGATGATTTCCCATATAGTCTTCACCCTCTTTTTTGATCGCCGCAAGTTGATCTCTGAAACAATTCCTGATTGCTGTCTCTCCAATCTTGATAGCTAAGGCTGGTGTCCAATATCGACCTCGCAAGACACCAAAAACATCAACATTCCAATAACGATTCCACTTTTTGGTCATAAGCGTGACTCCATCATAGTAATGAGCCGCATAGACCATAAGAGGATCGTCGTCTTTGGTATCTTTAATTGACGGTGGAATTTCCAACACTGGTGGCTGACAAAACAAGATTGAGTCTTTATGGTGAGCTCTGATGGCGTCCCGATGTTTGCGGTAGTAATCCATGAAGTGTGAGTTTGTAAACTCTTCATAGCTAAGTTCTTGCCCTGTTCGAGGATTCTTCTTAAAGTAATCTTTCTTTAACAGAGTATCTGTTGATGGATCCCATACGCCGTGCTGAGCCCAGATGCACTCGCCCAGCTTCCAACCAGGGTCTCGCTTGTAGCCATATCTTGATTCGTCATAGTCTGCTGATAACCATGCTGTCTCTCCTTGGGGATCAATATAAGTTGTGCCAGATTTGTATGGTCCCATCCCCCCAAAACCCCATGTGGCTATTTCACATGCTCTTCCAGACCCAGTCAACATGGCTTGAAATGCAGTCGGAGATGTTCCTTTCTGTAGCTTCTGTTCGCTTGGAATGGTAGATAAATCTGCCCAGCCGGCAAAGCCACGGTTAGGCTCATTCATACTTTCCCAGCCAATTACCACTTCATTTTCGAGGTCTCCTGCTTCATGAATCCTCTTTGCAAGGTGGGCACAAGCATTTATGAAGTGATCCTGAAGGTAATCCTGTATGTTCTTACCATCAATGATACATTTAGGTGCAAAGTCCCGACCAGTGAAGAAAAATGTAAATATCGTTTGACAGGCTAAACGTGTATAATTCGTAGCCCAAATCATTTTGGGGTAGTTCTCGGGATCTGGATATGTATTTTGCACGATTGCCGCTTCTGTCACAGCGAACTTTTTAGGATCAAACCCGCAAGCATAGAGAGTCCACATTGGAGCTCCTGATCCACCCGAAAATCTCGACCACTGCTTTGTTAGTCGTTGAAACTTTTGCTTGAAGGCTGCATACTTACGACGTCTTGATGGGGGTCCATGAAAATATAGAAACCATAACTTTTTGCCAATCGCAGAATTTCAATGGTGTGCTGAATCCATGTCTCGTCATATATACCCGGGCCGGCCGATTCAATTGCCTCCCATGTGAAAACATATCGTATCGTATTGTAACCGCAACGTTTCAATCGCGCGAAATGAGTATGTGCGTCTTCTGGCGAAAATGGGCGAGCATGGAAGTTGACATGATCACCATTGAAGAAGTCCTTTGAGATATATGAGGGTTGGTTCGGGTTGCTAGGATACTTGGCGTCTCCAGCAAGATTTATTCCACGAAGAGTAACTTCACGGCCATGAGAATCGCGGAAGAGGCCATTCTCGATCGTTAAGCGCAGTGGTGACATAGTGTGAATGAATTCTTCGAGGAAGAGTGCGAGAGAGGTTCAAGAATTGTTCTCGTCCGGCAGCGAAAGTACGAGATGATTTTAGTTCCTGGCAGACAGCGCTTAGTGTTCTGCTTGCTTTGATAAGATATCGGCGGTGTGGTTCTTCTTGTCGATCTCTCCTCGATTGATTGACAATGATTATATCTCTATCGTCCTAATTGCAGTATGGAAAGAGATGTTTATGTGAATGGGATCAAAAGACATATGAATGTGATAAGAACAAATAAACAACCACCAGTACCAATTCCCGTATTCGGGATCTTGGTTCCTTCTATTTGCACTGCCTAGGTAGTTTTTATGTCTGGGGGCAACAATGACGACGTCAGATGGGTATCCGACTATCACAGGAGTAAGACGTACCCAATGAAAAGACCCTGTTAATCGATTTTACTTCGTTTAACTCGCTATCTTACAGGTCCACGGGTGTGCTGACAAACAACATAGGCCTCTTCCGGTGTTCCCTTCCAAAGGGGGACGAAGATGATCCGAGCCGAACAGGCACGAGGAGACACGGCAGGCTAGACCCCACCAAGAAGGACAAGGCTGTAATCAAAAAATGTATGATGTACCTACCTAGCTTATTGGTGCTTGCTACGAGTATAATTCTAATCATGTGTAGTTCAGAACTTATCGTTTGATCTTCAACACTTTCTCATAAATCAAAGCTAGTTTATTGGGTTAACTATGCCGGATAAATTGCTCAGTAATACAACATGTCAGGAACCAAAGCCGCGCTGAAAGCTATAAATGCTGCAGTTCAATCTCACAAGTATGATGAAGCTGTCGAGCAAGCCCGGAAGCTTCTTGATTCGGATCCAAATAGCTACCAGGCGTAAGTTCAACCCTGTATCATTGCTCATGCATTTATATATATTTCTCGGAAGCAACATCACTCTCTAACTTCCGGTCCGCAGGAATATATTCTTAGGATTTGCCTATAGTAAACAAGCGAAATACCCTGAAGCAGAAAAGGCTTACGATGCTGCAACTAAAGTCAAGGAAGGAGAGCCACAGGCATGGCAAGGTCTCATTCAGTTATACGAGAAGCAGGGTGGTTCCAAGGTTGAGCAATATCAAATAGCAGCTTTGCAGTTATCTCAAATCTATCAAGCTCACGACGACAAATACAAATGTCAAGATGTCATCGACAAATTTCTCGCGTTTGCCAAAAATGAAGGATCCCGCATGCAGCACAGGAGATCCTTGGAAGTCATTCTACCTGATAGCCCAATCTACCAATATCTGGAAGGCCGCGTTCATCATCCTTCACACACCTATCAAATCATAGCTCAGATTACCGAGTTCGAAGAGAAAGAGCGTATCAACAAGGAAATTGGAGAGCGACGAACAAGATTAGGTGCCAAGATTAGTCAAGTAACAGTCGAAGTGAAACGAGAAGTCTTGAAAGATAGTGATTTGGAAGAAATTTACAATAATATCATAGACTGGACCACCGATGATGAGATTCGCCGTCAATACGAAGAGAAACTCATTAAAAGATGTCTAGACACTCTGGTTGTTCTCCCACCCGGAGACTCAAAGACAGAGAAACGATCAAAAGTATTCAAGCTGGCTACAGATATGGTTTTAATTAAGCATCCGTACAAGCTGGCATGGGATATTGCTATTGAGTGGCAAGATCCCGAATATGTTCAAGGCTTGGATGTCAACAATTTACGCGAATACATATATTTCTTCCCTGCGAGTGGTCTTGCTCAGGTTCTTCGAGGATACATGTCCAGTGAGATTTCGCCTTTCCCGCCACCGCCACGAACTCCAGCTCCCACGAATAACGAGAAAAGTGATGAAAGTAGTTCAGATGAAGACGACGGAGGAGTGACGTTGGATGACTTTGCGATGCTTGCAGAAGATCGCTTGGCAATGATGATAGAAGGCATGACGGATTCTCCCACATCAGTACTGGCACATCGTCTCATGGGAGAGTATTATCAATTTTTAGATGAGCACGAAAGCGTGGTGGAACTTATGCGGAACGCAAATCGGCTTGCATTAGAAGAATCCAACAAAATTGGCAAAAAGCTCAAAAATGCATCCCAATCTTTCAAAGCCATGTTGGGTACTGCTCTCGTATTTTATCAATCGCCGAAGAATCATCCGGAAGCAAAAGCTTTATTCGATGGTCTGTTGAAAGAAAATCCCACCTCAACTCCTGCTCTCATAGGAATTGGTTTGATTTATGAGGAAGAAGACGACTTTGTTGCCGCTATTGACTTCCTTGAACGTGCTTTACAACGAGATCCTACGAATATCCGAGTTAAGGCTGAAGCAGCATGGGTCAAGGCTATTAATGGCGACTATCTTCGTGGATGTGAGGAGTTAGAAGAGTGCTTACCTCAAATCGAAGCCAAAGATATGAAGTCTCGAGACTTACTGGCCCAAACACAATATCGTGTTGGTGTTTGCTTATGGAACATAGATACTTCGAAATCTGCACGCAAGGACAGAAAGGGAGCATATTCATATTTCCTGGCATCACTGAAAAGTAACCTTAATTTTGCTCCGGCATATACTAGTCTGGGCATATTCTACGCAGACTACTCGAATGACAAAAAGAGATCTCGAAAGTGTTTTCAGAAAGCTTTTGAGCTTTCATCCTCGGAAGTGGAAGCTGCTGAGCGCTTGGCTAGGATATTCGCAGGCCAGGGCGAGTGGGAGCTGGTCGAATCAGTTGCTCAACGAGTTGTCAATTCGGGAAAGGTCAGACCAGCACCTGGCTCGAAGAAAAAGGGCATCAGTTGGCCATTTGCTGCACTTGGAACTGCCGAGTTGAATAAACAAGACTACTCCAAGAGCATTGTTTCTTTCCAATCCGCACTGCGCATCACACCTTCTGATTATCATTCATGGGTCGGCCTAGGCGAAAGTTATCACAATTCCGGACGTTACATTGCTGCAACAAAAGCTTTTCACCATGCGGAACAATTCGAGAGCGAAATTGAGCAAAGACAGGATGGTGAGACCTGGTTTGCAAAGCATATGCTCGCCAATGTAAAGCGTGAGCTAGGAAACTTCGATGATGCCATTGAGGGCTATAAATCTGTACTTCAAAATCGTCCCGCGGAATTTGGTGTTTCTATTGCTCTGATTCAGACTTTGGTTGATAGTGCCTGGGATAGTATTGAGAAAGGGCTTTTTGGACAAGCAGCTCAACGTGCGACCGAGGCTATTGAAGTTGCTAGTCAAGTTTTCGAGAGCAGAGCTGATGCTTTCAACCTCTGGCGAGCTGTAGGCGATGCTTGTGCTGTTTACTCTTGGGTTTGGAGCCGCATCAACGAGTTCCCAGATGTGAATATCAAAAAATTGCTTGAAGAATGGGCAACTACTTATGATGTTTTTGCAGACGTCGATGGAGTATCTGTTGATGTCGTTTTAGCAAAGGGACTATTTCCTGCCGATGAAGAGGATGGAGTGCGCCGAACTCGATGTCTTCATGCAGCGATTCTAGCCCACAAGCGAGCTATACATTCCTCATCTCACGATACACACGCCCAGGCAGTTGCTTATTACAATCTCGGTTGGATTGAGCATCGTGCCCATGTCTGTTTGGCACCTAGTTTGAAAAAGAAATCTACCAGATATCAGAAAGCCGCAGTTCGATGTTTCAAAAGAGCTATCGAATTAGAAGCAGGCAACTCAGAGTTCTGGAACGCGTTGGGTATAGTTACCAGTGATCTAAATCCAAAGGTTGCACAGCATTCTTTTGTTCGAAGTCTCTACTTGAATGAGAGAAGTGCTCAGACATGGACTAATTTAGGATCATTATATTTACAACAGAATGATCACCAGCTTGCCAATGATGCCTTTACAAGAGCTCAGTCTACTGATCCGGATTACTCGCATGCTTGGATTGGACAGGGACTTCTTGCTCTCATGTTGGGCGATGCGAAGGAAGCCAATCTCCTTTTTACTCATGCCATGGAGATTTCTGGATCGTCTTCTTTAATCACGCATCGGCAATACTCACAGTCAACTTTTGATCAAGTTCTGGCTGCGAAGAATGTCACCAATGTAGCAGACTTGGTTCAGCCTTTGTTTGCGCTGAACCAAGTCCAATCGATGGCTCCTGATGATCTTGTCTCAAAGCATCTCTCAGCACTTTTTTCTGAGCGTACACATGATATTTCTTCAGCTGTAACAACCTTGACCACAATTTGTGGAGCGGCTGAAGCCGATTACGAAGTTACAGAATCACCAGAATCATTATCTCGATTTGCTTTGGCCAAAGCAGATCTCGCTCGATCTCAATTGGCAAATGAGCAATATGAAGAAGCTGTAGAAAGTGGAGACCTCGCTTTACAACTCTGTGATGAAGATAGTGGCAATGAGCTTTCTGCAGAAGATCGTCAGAAATGTAGACTATCTGCTCATCTTACTGTCGGCCTAGCCCATTACTACCTGAAAAATCTCGATACCGCTCTTGAGTATTTTGAGCCCGCTCTCAAAGAATCTAAAGGAAACCCCGATGCAGTATGCGTCTTTGCTCAAGTTTTATGGGCTCATGGCACCGAATCATCCCGCTCCAAAGCACAAGATATTCTCTATGAATGTGTGGAGTCTCATCCTAATCACGTACAATCAGTGTTACTTCTCGGAATCATAGCTCTATTCAATTCAGATACCGAAGGCATCGAAGCAGTAACTGCGGAGTTACAAACTCTCCGCACTGATAAGGTTATTACGGATGCAGAACAAGCATGTGTTGGCGAAGTTCTTCGTTCCATTGCTGCATTTGCCGAAGAGGATTCGCAGATTCAAGTAATGAGCGAGGTCCAGAAAGATGTGATTCTTCATCCAGGTTCAACCCATGTTTGGTCGAGATTGGCAGCTACGACTGGTGATGCAAAGGCGGCTGAGATGGCAGTACTGACAGCGAAGAAATCCGTCCCTCCACGTGGAGTCTTAGGTGCTGAGGATTTATCAATTGCGTATGCCGGTACTGGAAAGCTCGGTGACGCTCAGAGGGGTATTATGGTTGCACCATGGAAGAAGGATGCGTGGGATGCTTTCAGTAATGGTATCTCTACATAGTGCGCTATATCTCAAGTCGAGATTAGTATGATTAATGACCAACTAAACGTCGTCGCATGGACGCAAAAAAGTATCTTTCTATGTATGGCATACTATCTCATGTATCATATACAGTATTCTTCAAGACGCATTATGAATGAAAACCATTGCTTATATCCAAAACCGAATATGTGAAATCGTCAGCGCAGAAATGTTATGTATTTGATAACAAGTAGTGCCTTGCAATTAATCCACTTTTAGACCTCACAGACAGAGACTACTATTTCCTCATTATCACGCAATGTCTCTTTGTCTTTTCTAGCTCATAGTCTTTACCCTCTTCTTAAAAATTAAACTCTCTACCGATCTTGATACCATTTATCTAATTCCCTCCCAATCTTAATAACGTTAAACATTCGAAGCACCGAGACCAGTCTAGAAAATCTATTGGTTTAGACCCATAAGATACAGATGATATCATGCAAAAATCCTGATATTAATTAGCCGAATGTTGATCTCTGGCCTCAATCGTATGAGTTGTAGACACATAAATCGACTTGAGTTTCTGGACATCGCTCGGAATCTGACAAGAAATATTACATAAAATTTAGGAACAGCTAGAATGATATGATTTTCAACTTAAATTTCGGGGACAAATCTATGTTGTTCATTCACATTGGAGCCAGAAGATAGTGGTATGGATTTGAGACACTAATGCATTTTGGAAATAACATAAAAGATTGAAAACCTTCTTTTGAGTTGTAGGGGAATAGCTGGTTACGAACTCAAGACATTATTTTCAATAATACCTGCCAAGTTCTGTTATGATCTTGGAAACAAAATGTCGAAATTCAAATACATCACGGTCACGGTAATTCATAGATTCTGATCTGGAGTTTTGAAATGAGTTTCTTATATTATTGAATTCTTTCTATTTAGAATTCCAACTCTAGAAGTCTTTGTGTCTAAGCTTCTTGAGCAATCTAGAGTGCAACTACCGGTAGTGTCGATCATACTTTGAATCAGAACACCCTCAAGAAATCTCCCTCTGTCTAGGTCTGTAAATACAAAAAGCAACAGCACCCACAAACACCGAGCTCATCACCACAAGCATAGCCATCAACCACGGAACTGACATTGGAATAAGCTGAACAGGATATTTGTTACCATTCGCACTTGTAGAATTGCCCGTTCCGTTCCCATTTGCTGCCGCGTAAGCGGTAGCCCATGCTTTGTAGTTGTCGGTTGTGATGGTAGTCAATGCACTATCTCCATCTACAGTCGTAATCGTGGTTGTTCCGAAGACGCTCTGCAGATTGGCTTCTAATGCCATGGTGTATTTGGACATCTGGATAGAATGGTAGGAATTGTAGTGGGTACTGGCGGATTCCCAGGAAGCTGATAGCGCAGAGTAGGAGGGGTTTGGAAGGCCATTCGAGAGCGTCGAGGTGGGAGCATTACCTGGTTCAGCGAGACTTGGGGTTGGAAGAGGTGGCTCTTGATGGTATAGGAGGACTGTAGCGGTGGGGCTTGTGGTAGGCGAGAAAATTAGATCTTGTGTGGTGGGTCCAGGCTCAGTGTGCGAGGTTACGAGAGGTGAGAGAGCTGTAGGTGGTTTTATATCCCCAAAGATCAGCGAAGAATATTCACAAATCACTTGATTGTCAGAGGCGAAGACCGTAGGAGTAGAGAGGTAATGTTGGAAGTCTGTGTTGTTGACAGGTCTGTGAACTGTTAGTTCGTGGGATCGTTGAATGAGTGAGTATCACCGCCCACGGTGTGGTTGGACAAAGAGTGAGAGAAAAAGTCGAGGACATACTTAAAACACCAATCACTTCTAGTAGTGTCGGCTTTTATAGTGATTTGTTCCCATTGAACTGGCCCAAAGTCCCACTTACTTCCTCCTTGTGTTTCGATTGCGAAAAGTGCCTAAAGATAGTTAGTCTACGTCGGAAGATCATAAAGTAGTTGCAAAGCCAGCTGCTTACCTTGTTAAACGGGCCTTGGCCGCCAGGGGTTGCTGTTGATCATCCTCATTAGCAACCTCGCTTCTGGATCATTTACTTTTGGTAGCGAATGAGAGTGCTGAAGTGAGTGACTTACGATGGTCTTGAGGATCGAAAAGGGATTCTGCAGTGAAGGACGTCTCGCCAGCTTGAATGCCGGAGTAACCCCTCTCAACTTTCCATGTAACATTATATACTCCATTATTTGCACTCATCAATTGGTACTTTGTGGTGATGTGATCTCCTGGATATACTATATTTTATCAGCTCCACTGTCTGTTTAGGAATGTTGGCATAAGTATTGAACGTACCCTGCTGAGCTTTATCGGCTTGCCAGTCTTGAGGTCTGCACGTTTAATGTAAGTTAGCTTTGTTACTTCGAATATGTTCCAGCGACCTCGGATAGCATTAAAGGTCGAATTTTGTGTAAAAAGATATAACAAATACATACGTGCAACAAAATTCTAATCCAATATAAAACCACTCTCCGATACTTCCTTGGTTTGCGACCACAGTTTGCATAATGCCTTGATTGTTCTGAAGTGCAGGCCATATAGCTTGAACGTTGCCTGGAATGACTGACGCATTGGAAGAGTGAGGAACCACTTGAACACTTTCAAACTACAACGTGTCAGCTTCCTATCAGACAAGTAAGTTATTAGAGTAGGAGTGATCATCTTACACTTGCGATTGTTGCATTTGGATCCAGAGTGAGGTAAAAGAAATTTGCATTGATGTCGCCAGCTGAAGCAGCGAGTCCACTCAGGAGACCCCAGACCAATATGAAAATTAACATAATCATGTTCTGAAATTGAGCCAATGATTCTCGAAATACAATAAGCATAATATGAATATCAGTTAAACAAAGCTTAGAGAAGCAATTTCGTTGTTATCGGGGTTTATTAGAGAATGAATAGTGTGTATTTGTTGAGGTGAACTTGATGAAAAGCCAGAAGGAAACGACAAAATGATTGCAAGAATGACAGTAAAAGGTTTGATACAATGTATATGTGAGTATCAAAGAGAAAGCTGAGACTTGTGAAATATATGAGTAGGAATTTTGTTATGACTGGATAACTGCTAGGTAAACACCGGAGAAAGATAGTTCCGAAATGGCCAGACGAAGTTATTCACTACTCGAGCAAGGATATTTGAGAGTTATGACTTTCTTTATGTATGATTTTACACTAAGCACAAACCACAGCGTCCTTAAAGCAAATCAAAAATCAATCTCTTTGTTATAAAAATCCATGGTTTTTTAAACATGGCAGGTTGGGCCCCGAGGTTTTCCTCTCATGACAAGCTATAGAAAATGCAAGTCCTTCTTTATAAAAGAGAAATACACAGTCTAGTGGTATTTGCCACAAATAGGAACTTTCGAATAGTTGTTGCTGGAGAGGACAGTACATATTTATATTTCTCTAATGGAATTATGAAATGGGTTTGAGGTTATAGAATGAGAAGGTACAGATCTACACTCTGCTGCAATGCAAAACATAGGGCTCAATTTCTTCTTGGTAACACGAAAAACTTCTCCTGATGCCATCAAATAACAAAAGCTTTTCTGAAAGAGCGATCGTGACAAGGTGGGAGAACCAGAAAACACCACTTTGACTCTTGAGAAAAAGTATGTATGGACACTAATCATGATAATCTTATAGCATTTATCTCTCATTATAGCCTGACAAACTCATCTTTGTATCATAGCATCACTTAACAAATAACATTTGTGATACTAAGAATGAAATTTGTGCTTTGACGCGTTCAGGAACAAGACGTTATCCTCAAAACATACTTGGAGTGAACAGGTTTATCTCTTCCAAATCAGATGCAATATGACAAGGAATCCTTCACTCACTTCAAAGAACTATGTATGGTAAGTGCTTCTGCATCGGCAAAGAGATACTTCGAGCTAGATACTGTGTCAAGTCCGTGGGTTTTGGATTTGAACTCACATACCTCCAAGTAAGAAAGGATACACAGCTCACGATAATCTTCCCAGGATTCGATGCCTCTTGAAACTAGATTTTACAAACCATCTATTGAACTTTTTATTGCGGTTATTCATGGTAATGTAACGTCTAGAGTGCATTCGAGGTGGGTTTAAGGTTCATCTGCGTCGGCTATCTCGCTTCCAGGCTCGGCCCGACGCTACATGGTTGCTTTTGCCGATATGCAAGAGCATACCGACATGCAGATTGATACATGACGACTCCAATTGGATAATCACCGAGTCAACATTTCCAGAAAGCATCGAACTGGTCACTGTATTATATTTATTTTACTCCGTCTGCCTCACGCTTTTATTACCATAACCTCTGGAAATGCGGTGCTCGTAGAGAGGAAGAAATAATGCATAGTCAAGATTCCATGACTATATATGTAACTAATCGTTCCGAAATGCAGATATCATGCAGAATTCCATCCTCGTTTAGAGAAGAAAGAGTTTGATACAATATAACACCTTCAATAAGAAAATCCACACGGAACAGGATGCTCACTATTCTATAGAGCCAAAAGTCAGAACATCCCGATTGGAATAGTCCAAAACCGTAGATGCTTTGATTAGAAATGAATAATTTGCTAAAAGTGCACATGTACGAAGGCATACCAAAATCAGCCTTGTCACAAATCTTAGTATCATATTTCACGCTGACACCAGCTCGGCCCGTAAAAGAAAACGACCCAGTTGAGAGTCACATTCAGTTCTAGCATCTCTGAGGTGTATTATGGGTAGCTACAAGTATTAGTTACTATATTGTTTTCACCCGCGCGACCATGGGTTCACAGGCTCTCGAAAGAAACCCATCTTCACATTACCTGCTCTTCCTCGTGCGTCTTTTTACTCATCAACCAAAGAGCCGGGAGGTTTACAGAAGGAAGCTGCATACCAAATTTGTTATTTTCATTAGTTCCTACTCCTACAGCCTCTCGAAATTCATAGTATATTATCAGTTTCCTGCTTAATTTCTTGATCGCGTCTACCAATATACTCAATCCTATGTAAATCTCCCCGCACGTCCAGTGATAATTATACTAAAATCATAACTCCTCGCTTATTCGTTAATTTCTTGAACCAATCATCGTTGTGTATCGTTCATATATACCTCTATACACCAACTAGTCTATAAATTAATCTCCTATTCATCTCACCTCATTATATACTTCGATTGAAACTAGCTGTAATTGACAGCAATATCTGCAATGCCTCCACGTTGTACAGTCAAACAGTTGTCCAAGGAAATTGTCGCAATTATACGCTCCCACGGCTTCGTTGGGTATTGAGATACTCGGTATCTCGATATTGATATTCACATTATCACCCAGTTTGGATTTGGTTTCCAATAGAATGAGTATTGTTCTCTTCATGTCTGGGATCATCTGGGATGTCACATACGTATGAATGATTCTTATCATGAATGAATAGTTTACATTTCTTTTATTCGCTTATCTACTCACCACTTTTGAGTGTGAATCGTCGTTTAGATAAGTATATCTTGATTAAATCACCCTATATTTATCTCTAGATCCCAATCTACATTCTAACATCCTCACTCTCTATCCCCAATGTCTTTCAAAACTCTTGATATCTTCTCATGCTCTATCACCACTTCTTCGTCTTGCCTTCACTTCTTCTGTCTCCCTCCTTTCCTCCAACAATCTTATCTACCATTCAATTATAAACGCATACTCCCCTTTAAACACCAAGATTTCAAGAAATCGAAATCAAAAATCCTCTTTCCCTCGTGACTGGGGTCAAAGTCAGCCAGCAATTAAATACGTCCTTCAATAATTTAAATCTCATTCCATTTCGATCTCCTCTCTTTTCAGCTCATTCATCAATTTCTGATAATCTACCTATCAACTCAAACACCAGTGACCAATCTAGAACTTTAGATGCTACATCTCCAGGTGAAATACAATATTACTCTCGCTCAAGAAAATTTAACAGAAACATCATATACTAATACTCAGATTATCATTTAATAAGTAATTCCTCCATACTACAAACAAATCCTCGCTTCTTCCCACCCCATAGGATCAAAACCACGTCCAACAAGTCCACATATTGTAGCGTCTATTGTCTAGAACCAGACTCGAGTCATCATCGAGAGGTGTCTCAGATGCTCGTTTTTATGATTTCTTACGAAGACTTCCCAAACATCTAACTAGACATTTCGCTTATTTCGGGGATACGTGAGAGTCTCGAAGACACTCGTCTTGAGATTGTGGTATCATTAGTATAAACTACTTCTCTACCCATGAACAACATGAGATGTGAATGAATAGTCATTAGAAACATCTAACCGACCCAATCTTCATCCAACAAATCCATCTCCCCAAACTTCGAGATTTCTAGACATTCAAACCCTCGAAAGCTCAATAGATAATAGATTTCTAAAGACTTGAAATCTATCAAACATCTACGTGTGCGTAACTAATCTTACACGCAGTGATGTATTGTAAGCGTGCAAATTCGATTCCAGCAACAGGATACAGACAGCGAGTAAAAGACCTACATGTAGTACTACTCGTACTGACTTACAGATCTACTTCATGATGTCATTGGGTACACAACTACATCCATTCATCAATCAAGTAGTCCCCAGCCCCCCATTCAAACGTTTCAATCTATCTCCCCTTGCTATCCCAGATATCTCAGATCATCTGGCGAAGAATATTAGTACCAGTACCAATATTGACACCACTTCCTACTTCTCCGAAATCCCACTCTGCATCACCTCAGCATATATTGTATCTTTTATTTCGCAACGAAAATTTCAAGAATCACGAAATATATTTAGACCTCATCGTATTAAATCGTATCATATTATTAACCTACTCCGAGTATCTCCTTCAAGTACCTACTCCGAATACCTACCTACTCACCCATCACATCACATCCATCACAACACCTTCTTTGGCTGCACAACCCCCCCTCTCTTCGCTTCCTAGAAAGATTTCCTCCAGTATCATACACCATCATACACGAACAAAACAGAATACAAGAAGTATACTAACCAATCATTATTTCCTCTTTCGAATCTCCTTTGATTACAAGTTTTATAACAAGTGGAATGATTGGAATAATTAGAATGAATATACTATGAGAGAGAAGAAAATTTATGGATCGAGATTTTGGTTTATAGAGAACGAGGAAAGGAGAGAAGTAGTATCTATGAACTTGGTAAAGAAACCAGAATACTCTATTCTAGAAACTGTTCTTCACTATGTCAGTACGTATGTATGCTGTACTTGTATACAGTATATCGCATCCAAATCCAAAGAAGAAGAAGAAGAAGAAGAAACCAAAACCAAAACCACTTAACAAGATTCTCTACGAAAACAAAATACATAAATTCTTTTTTTAGTGTTATTATTCTATCTACCAATCTACCAATCTATCCATCAATCTTTTCCCCCTCCCACCCCCTCCAACCTAACCGAAAGAAACAATACAATACCCAAAAATTACCATCTCCACCACCGAATTTCCAACCACCCACCTCCTCGGCTACTCTCTCGGAAAGCGGAGAATCGAAGACTTCCATCCCTCCTATCCTTCCGTCGCACATCAATCCCATCCCATCCCATCCGTGACCCGTCGCACATCACCAGTCATCCGGCACCGCACCCAGCCGCAAGCTAAAAAAGTGGATATCATATTCATTCAACATTTTCGGCCAAAATGATCTTCAAGTTTTAAGCCTTGTATAGAAGACAGGATCTTATTGACTAGACTAGGCTAGGTATATATCGCCATTACCGGAATTGCGTTGCGTTTGAGAATGCGAATTCGATGGGGGAGCGAGGTTTTGTATTATATATCGTGTATAGGCGAAGAGGAGATATATGATCTGATCTGATCTGATAGGGAGGAGAGAAAGAGAGAAGAAAAAGTGGTGTGCTGGAAAGGAATGGCAGGAGAGGAGAGGAAAGGGGAGGGGAGGAGAGGAAAGGAGAGGAAAGGAGAGGAAAGGAGAGGAAAGGAGAGGAAAGGAGAGGAAAGGAGAGGAGAGGAGAGGAGAGGAAAGGATATAAAGATGTTTGAGAAGTCCGCGTATAGATAGATAGATACTCATACTCATACTCGTACTTGTCTGGGATAGGAGTAGAGAGTCAGGAGTACGAGATTAAAGATAGTATAGAACAATCAAAAGATAATCTACAAAGAGTAAGTAGATACGTAAGTGCTTAAGTGCGGTAAGTAACCAACCTCAACAATCTCAACGCTGTGAAATAGACGATAGCGCGGATAGTTTTCTTCTTCCCTACTTGTATATCTACATTCTATACTATACTATATTATACATTTATCTACACCCCAAAATAATCCTCGACTTCCCCTCACTTTCTCTCCCCCTCTCTCAATATCCGTTTCCGAAATCCGCATATCCCGATTCCCGTTTTCCATCTATGGCTATTCCCATCTCCATCTCCATCTCCATCTCCATTTCTATTCTCCATTCTCCATTTTCCGTTTTCCGTTTGATGATTAATTCCAAGAAGAATTACATAACACTGCCTACCTACCCACCCACCTTCCACAACAAGCCAATCCATCCATCCATTCATTCATTCAACCCTAACTAATCAAGAAACCCCTCGTCCCAACTCCCCACCCCTCTTCCCTAAACCCAAACCCAAACCCAAACCCAAACTTAAAACTCTATCCTAAAACTTAAAAGCCTCCTCACGAGTCGCCATGCTATACTTTGTACGGAGAGGAGAATTTCAATTTCAAATAAGCCGGCCGGTTGTGAAAAAAAAAAAAACATTAAAAGAAAAAAGATTTTTTTTTTAAAAAGATTGAATTCCCTTAGAGCACCGCTTACTTAGTAATTTATAGTAAAACCTCTCTATAAGAATACTAGTTTTTATAATCTTTTTCAAGAACATATAGAGATATTCATGTAGAGAGATATTCGACTAATTCCGAAATAGTAGTAAGCTACTTTCGATTAATCTCGATCGGGTCACACTCCGTAACTATTTTATAGCGTTTATTTTATAACATTTTTCCACTCGTATAAAAATGTCTAGAATTTCGATATTCCTATCATGTAATAGCTAAATCCTAATAATTCTATTAATCTAATAAGAATATATATATATAATTCTTAAATTAATTTTTTGAAAGAATATTCTAATAGAGAGATTTTAAGAATAAAGATTATTCTTATAGAGGGAATTCTTATACAGAGGTTTTATTTACTATAGTCAATATCCCATCTCAGATTCTCATCCTATTTCCGATATCCGAGCTCGCCTGCGCGCCCCATCCATTTCCCATGCGCGTGGGAAATTATGTGGCGCAAGGATAAGGAGGTATCGTCGTAGTGTAGTGTAGTGTAGTGTACTATAGTATAGGATGGATACGGTAGTTTGTGATTATCGCGTAGGGATTGAGGAGAGATGAGGGTGTGTGCTGGATTGGGTATGGTGTGAGGACGGGCTGACAACTTGACATGGCAAGCAAACAAGTATAGGTGTGGTTACTGGGTAGGAGAAGAGATTTTTGCTTGGGTTTAGGGAGGGAAGGGGGTGTGTCTGTGCGGTGTGGATTGGATAAGGAGATTTTGGATAAGGAGATTTTGGGTGGTGATTGAAGAGGGGTAGGCAAAGGGCTAGAGGTGATGTTTGATCTGATAAATCATGGTGGTTTATTGGGATCTTTATGCTAGGTAGTATTTAATGATTGATGATTAGGAATCTTGATTCGAACCATATAAGGGGAAGAAGGGGAAGAAGGAAAAGAAGCTTAATAATAGAAACTTTAAAGTGCAGAAAGTAGAGTTTAAGGTTATGTACTCTGGAAGCTATACATTATACATCGTACACCGTAAGAAAGGACGGATACTTCCCGGTCAATCGAGCATTGTGATGGATGGATGTAAATCCGTGAATCATTATTTGGTGCCGATGGTGGATAGGCGCTTAGAGAGTTCTTTCGATAGTCGGTGGAACTCGGTGGAGTGATTTTTATAAAGATGCCTAGGTAGGTAACCTGCACTCCATAAATGATGAGAAATCCATTGTGCGATTCTTGAACTAGAAGTGATGGAGTATCGGTCTGACGATTAAAGAATAGCTACCTAGTCGTCTTGTTCTGGTTGTCTGATGATGATAATGATATGTCACATGTGTCAATCGATGCTCGGGAGAACAGCAATGAAAGTTATCCTGCCCGTAACCCGACCTTGAAGCTTTTAGTTCGAGGTGCAAATTGGTCGCGTGAGGTTGTACATATACAGATTACCTAGCACAGTATCGATATTTGAGATATCACAATGGATATTCAAGATAAGGAATTGAAGATTCGATAGATTGACAAGGCAATGAGTTCGGTTTATCGCTGATTCTCTGTCCCGAGTGGGAGTTATGCAATTCGAGGTGGCATCGCATAAGTAAACGTTTTGGTGAGGGTGTGACGTGTGAATGATGTGTGAATGATGGTAAATGATGGTACTCATTGATTGGATTCGACATCTACCGAAGTTTCCGGAGCTCACAGTCATTGTGCAGTAACTTTGAGGCTATTAGACGATAAGCACGACAAGCACGACAAGGCGTATTTATATGCCAGACAAGGTGTAGCTCGTTGAGTACGCTGCGCCCACTGATGAAAGAGGCATTGTTGTCGGTTGTCATGGTCAGTATTATCAAAAACAATTACATCTGTTTTGTTCTTGTCAAGAATCAAGATGTCTTACTGAGCTACATCATCTTGACTTGCCCTTGCCATACTTGGGGAGCAATACGATACTTAGATAGTGAGGCGTATTGAGCTTTGATATCGATAACGACTCATGAGCGATTAAAAAGCTGTGAAACATGACGATTTTTGCTGAGATGATCCTCACCATGGGAGTTTTTTGGTACGCGCTTTCGTGGGTGGCTGGGCAATGCTTGGTGGTAGAGAACCCATGGAAATGGGGACATTGACCAAGGCAGTCCTCAACTGAAAACACGGGCAACGCTGGCGCAGCAGCACAGCATAAAAAGTATACCCTTTTGGGACCCCGCAGTTAATGGAGACGGAGGTTGATTCCGTAAATGGCCATGGGCATCCTACAACATCCCAAGGTTGGTATGAGTGGCTTAGAGAAGCTTGCAAGCGACAATTGGAGGATGTGAAACTTTCTTTCGTAAAAAACGCGACGACGTCTTCAAGGGCATGAAAGGAGATTAGGTATGATGAGATGAATTGAATTGAAGACGTCCTTGATGCGAATCGTTGGAGCTGAAGGTTCAAAACCTAGAGACCCTCCGCATTAGTCCTATGGATATAATTTAAGGTGTTCACAGACTGCAAGAGGAATTGTTGAGTGAAGGTTAGATGTTTCCGTCTAATCAGGGGCACCGAAACCACAATCCGCACATACATATGGATCCTGTAGGCTGATTGATACCTGATGATATGAAAAATGATATACGATGACTTCTATTCCCTTGAAAGATTTGCGCGGCAGTAATTTCGATATTGAATTTGAATCAATACCCAGATAAGATATGTACTGCGACTGCGACTGCGACTGCGACTGCGACTGCGGTATCACCATTCATCCCTCACCATCCTCATTTCCTTTTAAGTGATGAATCTTTTCGAGGAAGCCTTAATAAGAGGACTATGAAGTCCCATGCAGCCAATGAAAGACGAAGACGGTACACGACAAGGGGGGTTAAATTTTGATGTGCGGAACTTGATGAACAAGACATGGGATTTATCCAATCATGTCATACTAATAAGGCACTTCCCTTCCGGGTCTCTCGATTAACCTTACACTGCATAAAATTATGCAGGCAACGATAGCCTCGAGAGAATGGATGGGGATAGTACGTCGGTAGGGATGAGGATGAGGATGAGGATGAGGACGGGCTAAGATGAAGCTTATCATTATTTTGAAGCATTGGACTTTGGGAAAATTGTCTTATTTGATATGCTATACGGTGATATACGCCGGTATGCGAATGGCTGGCTGTGAAGACTTGATAATCTTTGTAAAACAGTTTGATGTCTTTCATAGTATCAATCAATTTGACATAAATAACCATCACATAGATTGTACCTAGAAATCTCGAATTCCGCTTTGAGTTCCTTCGTACTCGTGCTCATCTAGTAGATCGATAGCAAGCAGCCTTCTTTTTCTCTTGGTTCGAAACTCTCTTCACAAGTAACCTTACTTAATCTCGCAGCGTAAACATTTTGTAATCCCTCCGTCCATCTGTACGAAGTACTCTGTACATCAGAAGTGTACCCTGTTTGACATAATTTTCCATCTTCTCCCGCCGCATTTGTAAGTCAAAGTATGTTCCTTTCAAGTTTTCCTGTTCCAGAGCAACCTTGGGAAATCCTGTGTGGCGGTGATGATTGGTCGCAGTCGGATTCGGATAGCTCGCATCGGTATTCTATGGGCTACGGTAAGAGATTGGAGGTTGGATTTGGGGGTTGGATGTATTATGTATCATGTATCATGTATCATGTATGTAAACCGGCCGGTATGTAGGTATGTACAGAGCATGTACGATATACGACGTACGATGTCTTGATGTATGTATGTACCGATGAGTGATCTGAGTTCTCAATGTTCTAGCAATAATCCTGTCCCTACTGGTTGGTATACCTGCGCCTACTTGTTACGAAGTAATCCCACCCACCCGCGTGTTGAGGTTTGTTGAAGCGCGTAGCTAGATTAGACCTTATTTCTTGACCAGTACTTTCAAGTCGTGACTACCTATGCAAGACTCACTTCAAACCGCCCTCACCTGCACCTGCACCTCGTGATGATGATAATGTTAATGTTTTACCTTTCTTCCGACCGTTTTCGTTATTTGATCTTTCCGAATTGGAACATCCTACGTGATTACCGAATTGACGGGAAAGATGCAACAAACAATGATATTCATTACCAAATAATCTACCAACAGTCGAGATTAAAATCAATAAACAAATGAATTAATCGTCAAATCAGCGGAAAAGATACCAATAGGGCCTTGGTCAGACTCCCGTATTTCGTATATGTGTGGGCGGAGTATTTGATCATATATTTTTTTTTTTTGCTATGAATCTCTTTGCCAAGATTACTCATACATTCATTCCCTTGCCAAGATCCAGTCTTTTTTTCTTCTTTCTTTCTTTTCTTCTCTCACGTACTTATTACTTTAAGAGCGAGCTTAGCTGACATAATTTCTGAACCCAGTCATAATTAAAAAAGGACCTGGTGCTCGAAACCCAAACAAGAACCCAGCCCCAGTTGAGTAAGAGGGAAGGGAAGGGAAGGGAAGGGGAGGGGAGGGAGAGAGAAGAAGAAAAGAAGAGAAAGGGAAAGGGAAAGTAAAGCAAAAGACCCAAAAAGACCTTCCAAGGTTCTTTTCATTACTTGGTACATTCGGACTACTTGTACTAGCCCGGCGCCATATCCTCCTAAACCCGATTTTCTTATTTTTTGTTCCTTCACTTCCATCACTTCCATCACTTCCATCATACATCCGCCTCTTCCCTCATCAATCCCAATCAGACTTCTCTTATACATCACACACTTCCTTCCACCTCCACCTTCAATCCTCTGACCCGTCCTACCTGACCTTACCTTCCGAAGTCTTTTACACTTTTTGGTTTCACTACAACAACTACAATTTTAATTTTATGATTCGATAAAATTAGATAATAACATCTTCTCTCTCTCTCTCTCTCTTCCTCTCTCTCTTCGTCTCTCTCAATAAATCACTCCCAAACAATTCGACAAACACACATTATCCATCATTCATGAGATAATCATACATTTCGACAATTATAAATCAGCATCCTTCCTCTTAAACTCCGCTATCTTCCTTTGATTGCGTATTCGCCGATCCCGTAGATACGCCTCAACTCTCACCCTCACCCTCACCGTGTGAACAAAAAAAAAAAGAAAAAGTCCAACGATCCAAACATCGTCGAACTTCTACCTGATCATTTCATTCCTTTGATAACTTTACCTCCCCCAGAATTTGCCATGCCGGAAACAAATTATTACTCGTCGACAACTTCACCAACATTTACAAAATCCAAGATGCCTTTCTCATGGCCGTCGATACCGAATCCTATACCTCGTAGGATGAGAAGGAGGCTGAGATCCAAATTTCGTTCAAATCTACCTCCAGCTTCATCGATAGCTTCAATTGAGACGTCTTTCGATCCAAAGGATACATTACGAGCTTTGAGGTCACATAGATGGTCGGTGTATGATGGTCAATATTTGATCTTGATCATTATCGCAATATTCTCGCTCTCAATCAGTCAAGCGCCGGGGCCTCTGATGAAGACTGGTGCTGCTACTCTTTTAATGCTTGCGCTTCTTATGCCAGCAACAAGACAATTCTTCTTACCAGTTCTCCCAATCTTCACCTGGTTGGTTTTCTTTTTCAATGCTCGGTATGTGCACTCTTCCATTCGCATTGCGATCCAATTTGCCGCTTTCTTTGAGCCTCTCTGAAACTCCTCTTCCCCCGTCAAATACATGCCAGACCGCTTTGTTTCTAACAGACTTCATAGATTTATTCCGGCCGAATACCGACCACATATCTGGGTCAAAGTTCTACCTGCCCTCGAGAATATCTTTTATGGTGCAAATATTAGCAACATCCTCTCCGCACACCAATATGTCGTTCTTGATGTCCTCGCATGGTTACCCTATGGAATTTTACACTTTGGAGGACCATTTGTTTGGGCCGCCTTGATGTTCCTTTTCGGTCCTCCCGGTACCGTACCAGTATTCGCACGAACCTTCGGTTACTTGAACATTATTGGAGTCGCCATCCAATTGATCTTCCCTTGTTCGCCTCCTTGGTATGAGAATTTGTATGGTCTTGCGCCTGCCAATTATTCCATGGAAGGATCGCCTGCGGGTCTTGCACGAATCGATTTACTATTCGGTTTTGATATGTACACAACAAACTTCACCGCATCACCTTTGGTGTTTGGAGCTTTCCCATCATTGCATTCTGGTAATGCAGTATTGGAAGCACTTTTCATGAGCCATTGCTTCCCAAAACTCAGACCATTCGTTATTGCATACGCCATGTGGATGTGGTGGGCAACCATGTATCTATCTCACCATTATGCCGTTGATCTCGTAGCCGGAGGTTTCCTCGCCGCCATTGCTTTCTATATCTCCAAGACAAACTTTCTGCCTAGAATTCAAGCAGACAAGATGTTCCGTTGGGATTACGACTATGTTGAGAGAGGTGATGCACCTACCGGAATCTACGAATATGGACTTGCAGTTCTCGACCAAGATTTCCGTCATGATAGCAGCGACGAATGGACCATGGGATCATCCTCTTCATTTTCTTCTGGATCGAGAAGTCCAACTGATGAAAACGCATCGGCATGGGAAGGTGACACTTTGGCATCTCAAGCTTCGGATAGTGAGCTCAGCGAGGTTGTTGTTAGGTGATTTCTTACGTCTGCAATAACGTTGCACTCGACAGGAGCAATTTCTCTCGACTCTCCCAGGTGAGAGAAATTCTCATCATGATTTTACGGCATTATCATGTTACGGCGTTTCCACATGAGCGACTTCTATCCTAATTCGACTTCCAATTTTCCGACATTCCCTGGATCACTGGACAGTTTGAACATTTGTACATATACCTCTTTTAACTTCTTTCGGGACCATTCAATTCGAAGATTTGGATACACGAGTTCCTTACAGTATATACTAATGATAATACTGCCGGAATCAACTGAACCATGCCGATCTGCTACGTCATTTCGACATGGCAAGCGATTTCTGGCTAAACATTTCGATTTCATTTCTTACTGTTCATAATACGCCTATCATGGTTGATTATAGACATGGGCACTTTTATTTATTTATTCGCCCACCTTGGGTGAATAAACAGTCCAACTATCGCTAGAGTTACCGCCGCTTTTACCTCTTCTCTTAGGGGGTGTTTTTATAGAGAAAAGTTTGTGCTGGGCTCGCTACACATGTATATTCTCTTCATTTTATAATGAGAATTATTCTTCAAAGTCTCTCGCTGAATATAGATTTTGAGACTATTCTTTATTACTTCAATTGTTTTTTTGGTGGTGGTGAAAAGATGATGGGGAATTAGGGTATTCTAATGTCATGGATGTAATGAGCGTGGGACAAGGGATTATAGATGGATTTCCTCAATGGTTTACCATAACATAGCATAACCTAATTTTGGTTTGGGCTTACATCCGTCGTTATAGACACGATTCGAATTGGATCGAATCGAATTGATGGGATCATCACACACTTTTGGATTTGGAATGACCTTAGGGTGTGATGTATAAAGATGAGATGGAAAGGAGATGGAGGGAAGACAGCAATTCTCTTTTCTCTTGAGGAAAGGAGAGTTAGGGGGGAAGCGAGAGGAGAGTGTAGTTGAAAGTAATGAAATGAAATGAAATGAATAATAAGAACAAGATGATGATATAAAGATTAAGATTAAGATGAAGACGATTGATATGAGTTGAATGAAATGAATTGAAATCATTATGGAATGGATTTGATGGATTTGAAAATGAATTTGAATGTATATGAATGAGTATACCTTAACTTATATTTGAGAAATTATGAGTTATTTATTACCTAGTACATAGGTATTTTGAATTTTTGATAATGACTAGCGATCAGCGACTCGTGAGAGTAATAATATAATGTAATGTATAAAATAGCTAGATATTCGTTCATTTGTTTATTGATTATTTATTCGAAAATCTTACTTCAATTCTATTTTATTCAATTCAATTCTATTCAACTCAACTCAACTCAAACAAATTTATCTCAAATCAATTCATTTAACTCAACCCAACCCATCTCATCTACATAACAACCTCCTTATCATATATACCCTCTCCCTCTCCCTCTCCCTCTCCCTCTCCCTCTCCCTCTCCCTCTCCCTCTCCCTCTCCCTCTCCCTCTCCCTCTCCCTCTCCCTCTCCCTCTCCCTCTCCCTCTCCCTCTCCCTCTCCCTCCTTACACCATTTACCCATCCATAGTATTTCCTCCCTTCCTGCCTCCCAAATTGCCAATTAGATTCCACCTTCTCCCTCTCCCTCCTATTCTATCCCTAACACATCAAATCATAAATACCATTTCGTAACGCATAGAATAGCATAGCATAGAATAGCACAATTGAGTATTTATTTTCCGTTTTCCATTGTCCGTGACATGACAATGATAAATATGATAATAACCAGGAATGAAAAGAAAAGAAAAGAAACCCACGACAAAAGATGCAAAAGTAGATAAAAGTAGATAAAAGATAAAAGATATATTAAGTATGCATAGATACACCTGCACCCGTCCAATCATTCATTCAATCATTCCCAAATTCATTCCGAACCCTAACCTAACCTAACCTAAGCATAATATCTCGGTTCATCAAAAACATGATATCTATGTCCCCTCACCCCCTCACCTCTAAATAATTGTGGGAATCTCTTTCCTTCACTCACATCCCCTTCATCCACTCTTCTATTTCTCACCTCATCACTCTCTCCCTCTGGTTCTCTGACCAAAAATTTCCCCACTTGAATTTCCGTATCCGTAATTGTACTTCTGGAAACTCTTGCATATGCCGATCTTCTAAGCCCCTTATAAAGGATATATTCGCACCATCTATCCCAATCACTTGGATCAATATCGTGCATACCCGACCTCTCAGACACATAAGTATTGTAATTTCCTTCCAGAGGTTTGGTGACAAGGTAAGAGAGGAGAACAGATGGGTTTGTAGAAGCACCCATCAAGTCAGCTAAGTATTCAGATTGAAGTCTTCGATCTTCAGGATCTTCCTCTTGACCTGAATGGAAGACGAAGACGTCCACTGGAGTTCCGTATACGTCTAGCGTAGCAGCGATCGCGGGAGCTAATTCTCCTACAGGTGATGGGAGTAAGTGGTGGGTAGAATTGAGAATTGGAAATTTGGAGAGTAGTGCACAACCCCAAGTGTGTTTGTTGGGACCTGGTCCGTAATCAACATACATTCCAAGATCTTCTGCGAGGAATTGAGTTGTATCACGGTTGCCCATGATAATACGTTGAAGATCCGATTCGAGAAGACCAATGACATCGATTTCCAATTCTTTGATTACATCTCTCATACGATATTCGGATGACCACATGTCATTGTCTAGACTGAAGTGAATAGTCCAAATGCCTGCTGTGAAAATCTTCTCCTCTTTGTGGTAAGGAACATAATCATACGTTGGGAAACGCATATATGCTGTCGAGATAGAAGTAAGTTGAAGAGCTGCAATTGTATAGAGGTAGTATAAACGTTGCTTTCGTTGATTTAAGAACGCATTGAATCGTTTTCGTTGTGCGGCGGGAGTGGATGAATATGTAGCGAAAACTCCACAACCAATCAACAACATAGTGACAGTCATGACCCAGTCTGTGTGTTCTCTAACAAGAGGACCACCTGGAACAAAAGCATAAGCCACAACCCAAACATGGAATAATACCATAAAGTTGTATACGAGGAAACCAATTCCAAACGCTTTAGCTGGGCTCTTTCTGGCAGCTGATCCCAATAAAGGAACAGATACAGCCATGAGGTAAACGGTCAAAACCAAGGCACCATAATACCCTTTCCAATGACTGTATAATGTAAGCATGGCAGCACCTACACAACCAATACCATACAACGTCCAGCTACGAGCCAAAGTTTCGTTGAATAATCCGAGAATGAGACCAACTCCCATTGCAGCAATGGTCCAGGCACCATGAGGTGCTGAAATTGGACCACGAACGGGGTATCCTTCCCAGACCCAAAGAATCATTGTGCTAGAATCGGATAGCAAAGAATGCAAAGCAAAGAAAAGACCTCCAATGCCAAGACCAGCAAGAAGTGATGGTCCTTCCTTACGTCCTTGGACAGAAAGTTGATCTCCAGTGATCAAACTTTGACTTGGTCGTGTGGATCGCAAGACAGCTAGAATAGCAACGATGAGACCATAACCATTCAAACCACCATTTTCAGCATGCGCAATGGGCCAGATAGGATTATTGGTGTGGAATGCAAATTTAACAACACTTGATGCAATGAGACCAATGGTCCATGCTGAAATTTTCGATTCGAGACGACCTGGCTGTCCTGCTGATGCGTACCAAGTAGCTGCCCAAGACAAACATGACATCCAAAGGCCAAAGCCAACGGCGAAAAGTCTAGGCGCTGGACTCGTGATTTGATAGGCACATAAGCCAATTAAAGACATGAGATGACATGTCCGAAGATTCTTCACAATCAATGCTCGAATGGATCTTATTCCCAAGAACAATGGAGAAATGGTACACATAACCATAACTTCATAGCCGGAGATACCCATATGCCAAAGAGGAAAATCTGACAAGATTAGCGAGTTTCGTTCCAGTCTCTTTTCAAGTACTTACACCAGACGACTATGCCCAGAGAAGTCAACATTGACCAGAATACGAACTACATAAATCTCAGTAAAAGTCTCCTAGACAATGAAAATGATTACTTACGCCATTATAGACATCAGCTGCTGCATCAAAAGCTTCAGGCCATGCAAAAGATTGACCGAATAGTTGACCAACTTCCTTTCTTTTCTACTTACCGATTAGCCAAACATTTTTAAAAAGGAATTAAATATCACAAACTCTTTCTCATAGACTTTATCAACCATCATCTTTTCTTTTCTAAATAATGATATTGATTTAGACGTGCTCATAATAATGTTACATTCAACAAAAATGTTATACACTATTTTGGAAGCCAGTGGACGTACCCCTTAGACTGACCCTTGACATCCTTCACAACTAATTCGAAAGTCTCAAAATCGAGAGCTGTAACAGCATCGAAAGCCACATCAAACAAAATCAAAGCCCATTCGAAGAAAGCGTATGCCGTGTATGCTAAATGTTCCATTAGTTGAAAATTCGACACTTAATTTGATAGAAATCTTACCCCCCGCGACTCTGTGAACTTTGTGCTGTATAAAAAAGTAAACCAGAGGTACCAAAGTTCCAAAGAAAGATCCCGCGAAATATTTTCGATATTTAACAGCTCGTGCATTGTCTGGACTCAATGCTAGACATCCTAAAGTCCATGGCAAAGTAGCAACCAAATATGAAATCATAAAAATATCATGCCAATCGTGATCGTCCGTAGAGGTAACATAAGTCCAACCGCCACATGTAAGAGTACGAAAAACGCCCGCGAAAGCAACAAACTTGGGTAACTTTGAATTTGGTCGTGCAGTGAGAAGGTACCATAATCCAACGAGAGCGAATCTAGGGCCTGAAAGAGATGTTAGAGAAGCTTTACAAGGCTCCGATATCTTGATTCCTGCCACATACCAGATGTAATAGCTATAAAGACCATAAAAAACGAGCGTTCCGGGTATCGATCTCCAATTGTCGCGGAAACTGAAGGGAACCATTCATCTGGATAACCATAATATTCATTTTGAACGATTTTATGATAATGAAGTGAAACTCCAACAATGAGTGCGCTGAGAAAAGCAGCTATTGATGAATGGTAAGCATTTTCACATAAAAAAGAACCAAACCCAAGATTCGTTTGCTCTTACCATATGCGACTGCAGTATGAGTCCATGACACCCATTTACCTGAGAAAGCGAGTACAGTGTCGCCGTCCTTGAATTTCGGTGCCATCTGTGATTCTAATCACTCTGTATATGAAATATTCACATCCAAATGAGTGTAGTTCGTAGCATCCGGAGAGATAAAAGAGGAAAGAGGGAAGGAAAAATTGAGATGGGATGGGATGGGATGGGATGGGATGGGATGGTAATCACAAATGGGGTTCAATGTAAGGTACAAGTGGGCACGCGTTGATTTGAGATGAGATGAGATGAGATGCGATGAGATGCGATGAGTTGTTGGAGACCAAGCCTTTTGGGATAGCCGTGAAAGCCGTGAAGGCCGTAAAAGTCATGCAATCGATTCATGCAATTCGGTGCAATTCGGTGCAAGTCGATTGATACTGGATTTTCCCCTCCAATAGACCTGGAGCCTGCCTGGGTGGACTTACAAGGTAAATTCTCAGCCTTCTCCGAAAGCTCCGTGACGTCTGGTGGGATTTTTTTAAATTGTCAAGGTGGAACCAGTTCAAAAAAGCTGTTCAATTCAAAAAAACTCGTGGCGCGCAGAGTTCAAAGTGTACCTGGGTAAACACGTAAAATATGACACGGATGAAAGGTAATCCTTGTTGGCCGGGGACTCGGACTTTTGATATTCCGTCTCCATTGACTAGGCTTAAATTGATCGGCATAATTTCTACAATCATTCACCGCCCAAAGAATTTCTGAAGATTTCCCCAAAGGTAAAGAAAAGTCCAGAGAGTCATCATAAAAATCAATCTTCATATAATTCAACAATGTCGGGCGCAAACGATAAAGCAAGATTTTATCTGGAACAAGGTGTTCCTCAATTGCAAGAATTGGAGCAAAAGAAAATCTTTACAAAGGTTAGTTTTAGTATTTCTCTCTACATCTTATATGTCGTGGCTATCTCATGCGATCAACTACTAACCAAGAAATTGGATTCAGGATGAAATCAAAACACTAGTTAAAAAGCGATCCGATTTCGAACATAGAGTGTTAGTGAGAGGTTCAAAAGCCGTTGATTTTGCTCGATATGCCGCATGGGAAATGAGTCTTGAGGAACTTCGTCAAAAAAGATGCAAACGAATGCGCATAAAAGGAAGCTCATCGCATGCCGGTCAAGCACGCGTATTCGGTATATTTGATCGAGGTGTAAAGAAGCATGCTGGAGATGTCGCATTATGGATGTCATATTTGGAATACACAAGGAAAGCCAAAGCGACGAAGAAATTCAAAACGGTTTTGACAGCGGCAATTCGATTACATCCCACCAAACCGGAATTGTGGCTATATGCGGCCAAATGGGCGTTGGAATTGGATGCGGATATGAATGAGGCAAGAAGTTATATGCAGAGAGGAACTCGATTCTGTACTAGGAGTAAGGACTTATGGATCGAATATGCGAAATTAGAGATGATCTATTTGGCAAAGATTGCTATACGTAGGAGGATTCTTGGCTTGGATATTGATCGGACTATCGAAGTTCCAAAAGAAATCGAAGAAACACCGGAAGAATCTGGATTCACAACCTCACAGGACATGATTGCAATTCCAGATTTCAAGGATAACACAATGCAACCAAGCATGATGGCAAGAGTAGGAGTAGATTCGGAAGCTGCTAAAGATCCAATGACTACACCAGCTCTCAATGGTGCCATTCCACTTGCTATCTTTGATGTGGCTAAAAAGCAAGCATTCTACTCATCAGTCGCAGCAGAAGGATTCTTCGATATGTTCGCAGCATTTACTCAAGTAAAATGTCTTCCTAAAATCCTCCAACATGTTTTGGACAGTATGTTGGAATCATATCCCAATGACCCCACAACATGCAACTGTTATATTCGTCAACCATTAATCGGCATCGATCACACCTCTCCCGAATTTGCAGTCGCCATCGGATCTGCACTAAACCGTCTTAAGGAATCATTGGAGAATACTAATGATAAAACTCAATTATCACTGAAGACAAGAGCATGGATTGAGGCAATCATAGCATTACCAGAATTAGATTCAGGTATTCAGACGGTCTTGCAACATACACTCCGAAAGCTGGAATGATTGTAGTATGATTAAGAGGCTGACATTTGAGCGCATTACGCACACAATTGAGCGAATTTGGAGATGTGGACGTGAGAAATGTCCGCATTCTCGTTCGATGATGAAAGTCAGGAATCACACCAGTGGCAGCCAATAACCCTCTACCCTCTTTGACTCCCCACCCATAAGATAAGGAAGGCTAGAGTCAAGGTATAAGAGAAGCAACAATCTAGACCTTGCATAATAATGTAAAGAGGAAAGGTTTCAAAAGGCGTTGGGTCTGGGTAGGAGTATAGGAGGTGGGCTTTTTATAAGATACTCAATATCGAGACGAGACGAAAAAGTACGACTCGATACTAAGAATCTATCAATTTCTAAATACGTTGATTGTTTTCGAACTTGGATCAATGTGAATTTTGAACAGAGGTTATCTGTTTGTTACATCTCTATCATTAGTCTTATCTTTGCTTTTTCGACAGAGCTTTGTCTCTCGAGAAATGAGGGAATGAGGAATGAGTTTTTCACCGCATGATTTCATCGTTCCATCGTATGTGAACACAACACAACCCGTTTATCTCAAAGTTGAGACGATAAATTTTGATTTCAATCATCATTATACCTACTCTGACATTCTAGTCTCCTCTCCTCCTCAGTCTCCTTCTGAGTCTTAGTAACTAGGAAATACTCACTCATCTACCAAACCATCCTCTTACATCCTTATACCTACATACATAAATCCAAACAAGATAAATCCTCACAGTCAAAATATATCAAAAATTCCCCAATAATCAGGTGTCCTCATCTCCAAGTTTTCGTTTGTGGTATACCTAGGTAGGTATATATATCATCTTATCTATTTATCTGTTTTTCTTTAGATTTTTATCTAGTGATTATAAATTTGTTATTACTTGGAAGATGAGTGAATGGATGGATGGATGGATGGATGGTTTTTAGTGTGTGTTATTATGTATTGTATTGTCTTTTTGTATGGATAGATAGGTAGGTGGGTAGGTAAGTAGATAGATAGGTAGGTAGGTAGATAGATAGATATATATCTTATTTATTTAGTAATATTCAGTATAATATATTAGTATTAACTGATAGAAGAAGTATTTGGATATTATATTATCCATTGAGAAGCATTGAGTGTGAGAGAATGGATTGGTTGGATGGCTCGAGGGAAAGGGGTTATTTATGTGTGATGTGTGATGTGATGTGTGTGATGTGTGTGGTGGGGAAGGGAGGGGAGGGGAGGGAAGGGAATAAAAGGGATGGAGGGGGGAGGGAGGAGTGAGACGAGAATATGATGAATGTATTTTTTATTTTTTTTGTGGTTTGTATTTTTGTATGTATGTATTCTCATATGTATTCTTATTTATATCTTTATTCTTATATATATCTAACTGTATCCATCCCAATCCTATCCTTATCTAAGAAGAAGAAGAATATATGTGTATATAAAAAACCCAAACTCTATTCATAATGCGTAAGAAGCGAAATCTAAAATTCGTCTTCGACTTGACTTTTTCTCCAATCTCCATTTCTTTCTTTTTTGCCTTCTTTCTTTTTCTTCTTTCTATTTTCTTCAAACACTCTTATACAATCTGATTGAATGCCTGCCTGCCTTGGTGTAGATAGGATAGATAGATAGATGGTATGGAAGAGTATAACTCATACACCCATACCATACCAGACTATGCTATAAAAGAAGAAGAAAATGATTCAACAACAATCAAGTTCAAACCCCCCTTTCCCCGAAGGAAAGAATATGATGAATAAATGAGTGAATGAGTGAGTGAACACATGAATGAATGGCCGCCTCCAGATTCTTCATCTCCACCTTGAGGTCTTTTTGTGGGTGTCGAAGTGATATTGCTGATATCAACCTATCGCCTGATATTCATCTTTCAAGCATCAGTGTTCCAGTCGATGTATATATTCTGGTGCCCACCCCGGATTCAATATCCCGCATCTAACATCCAACATTCCTCCCTCCTTCTCCATCCCAACACATACATATCCCAAGAATAAACCTTATCAACCCATCCCATCAAACCAACCACCCATTCACAGGAGGATAAACCTGTTCCTCCCAAATTCTCCCCTCCTCCACACACCCCTCACCCTCACCCACAACTCCCCTCCTCTCCCTGGCCCTCACAATACTTTTCAAGATCCTCTCTCTATCCCCCTTGCTCGCTGCAATCCTCGCCGAGATCGACACATGTGCTCTCTCCCCCATTGCACCCGTTCCAAATCCCCTCACTCCAAGCATCTCCAAATTCGCAGCCATCCCTTCCCGTTTTCCATGCGTGAAATACCCGTTTCCGTGCACATCATATCTGTTTCGAGGGTTTCCGCGCACGCCCTCGGAGCTGGCAAAGGCTTTGACGCTGGAGGTTTGGTGGTAGAGGTTTTTGGCGGTGCTTTGGAAGTGGGTTTTTGAGAGGATGGATTGGTTGTAACGGAGGAGGTGACGGGCGATGACGGGGAGGGTTTCGGGGGCGGACATTTTGGTGGTTTGGTTTGTTTGTTTGTGTGTTGAGTGGAGTTGTGTTTGAGGAATAGTATGAAGATGGTGATATACTTCAAGTAAGTTAATCAAGAAGTAGATATCCGGTATTCGAAGGGCTCAATAAAGAGATCTCCTTTGACGATGAGCTGATATAGTTGATCGACTTGCTTGCCTGCTTGCTTGCTTTCAATATAATCCGTAGAGAACCTCTCTTCTATAAATATATACGATCTTGCAAATTCTCGACTCCGGAACTCAAAGTAGAAATAGCGACTCCGTTCCTGAACAGGAAATGCGGGTTCGATGTGAGTATCAAGTGATATTCACGTGAGGAATATCTGTGGGGAAATAAGGTTAATCGTTGATGATGATGATGATGATTTGATGTGATGTGATGTAATATGATATGATATGATATGATCTGATGTAACGTGAACAGAACACCAATAAAAGACGAGACGAGACGACGATAAAAGCTATCAAGCAACGAGATGAATCGACAATCCGCCTGGGACTATTAATCGATATATATAATCTCAAGAAGCACAAAACCAAGAAGGAACACGCAGGTAATTAAACACCGATAAAGTCTGATGAGTAAAATAAATAAGAAATCCTTCCCCTAACCGGAAAACCCGTCGAATATTTATCCTCCAACCCATCAGCTGCCCACCTCCCTCATTTCTCCATCCTATCCCGTCCCGTCACCAAATCGTTACAGTACACCTTCCATCCATCCGTCCAGCCCGCCAAGCACCCACCAAGTTCCACCCGCTGAAACCATACTCCACCCATGCGACACGATACCACCATAAGCTACATACCATACCGTACGTGCCGACTCGAGAAAGAAAATATCCAGAGAAACACCGTACGTACAGAGTAGACTTGTAGGACTGCGCCCACCCACCCATTCGAAAATGCGTACATCCAAACTGTCAAACATCTTAGCCCGCCCAAGCTTCTGGGCATTTAAGATTCCCACACGACACGCAGTAAATCACATGTGTCAAGTATGTGAACTGGCGTCTAGAGTGGATGCGATCAAGATAAAACTCGACAAAGTTAAAGGTTCCATTCGCACGCTAATACCTTATCTGTTTGGATAAATGGATAAATATAGATTTCTCGCTTGGCATCTTCAGATCAGCACGGCTGCTTCCGTTTGTATCAATTCGAGGGGGAGATCTCCTTTGGTGGGGGCGTTTTGAGGGAATATGTGGACTGTGAGTATGGAGAATTATAGAAAAATCACGGGGTTAGATGGAAGAGTGCTTGATGCTCCAAGAACTCCAAGAACTCGGACACAAACAAGGTATCATGAAGGGCTAGACTTGATGCGAATAGCCCCATTACATCCAATTAGTACGTTTAAGAGGAAGAACAAGAAGATTACCCAAGTGTTCTACTCATGAACATGTGAAATTCCAAGACTAGCATTGCATTGTGAAATGGTATCCTGTTAATTAAGAAATCTATAGCTTTCCTTCCCAATACACCCCACTAGGTTTCCAAGAGCTCATATCATAGCTCAACTGTCTCAAATCTCATCTTCATCATGCAAACCAAAATCCCCAGCCCAAATTTGCTCAAAAAGATACTTCAACTCCTCATTTGAATATTAAGTCGACGTGAAACGCCAGAAGAAATAGACCATGGTCGTAAGGAATTCGTATCGTCCAGTAGCATGGTGTGGAGAAGATAAAAAAATGGTAAAGGGCCGAAGAGAATAAGAAGAATAGAAGTTTGAATATCAAGTGCTTTTTCACCATCATCTTCCCGAGACCTTCGCCGCTCCTGCAGACCATAAACCCTTTGTCGTTTCAGCAATTTTCCTAGTCTGCGCCTCGATTTGTGCTTCTGTTTGACCTTGACCAGAACTTCTCTCTATAGCCCTCATAAACTTTTCACGCTCATCATTATTCGTACCTGCTGTACCATATCCTGAATCAATATCCATAGCACTGTCTCCATCTCCGTCTCCAGGTCCCATTCCACCCAATCCAGAATCTTTACTGTTGTGATTCAAAGGTCTAGCTCCACGATCTGGCTCCATAGATTTTGAACCGTCCATCATACCAGCTTGTCCTTCGCGGAGTTTATTAATGGCGCGTACAGTATCAATGGCAGCATGAAGGGTACGTCTGGCATTGAAGTTCTTCTTAACAATCGGAAGTAAATCGCTACCTTTACCATCCTTTGACACTGATTCTCCGGTGACGAAAGGGTGTGACAATGCTTCGTGGGCGGTCATTCTTTGGGTAGGATCTATTGTAAGGCATTTCTTGATAAACTCTCGAGCTCCTCGACTAACACCTCGCCAGTATTCTATGGGTGTAAAGCTATAATCTGCGATGAGAATCGCTTGCATTTCCTCCAAATTAGAATCTCTGTCGAAAGGTGTATATCCACATAGTAAGAAATATGTAATGACACCAATTGCCCATATATCGACTGGTTTTCCGTGTCCTGTCTTCTTAAAGATTTCTGGTGCCATATAACCTGGTGTACCGCAAGTAGTGGTCAAAACGTGAAATTGCTCTTCGTCCATTATTCTACTTAAACCAAAATCTGCAATCAACAAATCCGCATTGTCTTCTGGTGTTCGAAACAATAAATTCTCGGGTTTAAGATCTCGATGGACGATGCCATGATCGTGTAGGTAGGCCACAGCGGAAAGCGTTGCTCTGATAAGGTCTGCAGCATCGGATTCGAAGTAGGAACCTTTTCGACAAATGCGATCAAACAACTCTCCACCCAGTGCCAAATCGGTAACCAGATATAAATTATTGAGGGTTTCGAAGTAATCGACTAATGTCAGGATATTTTGGTGGCCCATGGAAACGCGTTTGAGTACAGCGATTTCATTACGAATCTACAAGTAGGAGGTGTCAGCAAACATTATCAATGTGAAAGGAATGAAAAGTTCTTACCATATGTTCTCTTCCCGCCATCAATCGTTTATTAATGACTTTCGCGGCATAATATCTTCCCGTATCAACATGGACACATTCTTTGACGACTGAGTATGAGCCTGCGCCCAATGTCTTTCCAGTCTTATAACGACATGCTTGAATTTGGGGTTGCGGGTGAGAACCCTGGAGATTCGAGGAGGTCATCTTGTTGTGCGGAGTGATGGAGTATTAGATGAGGTATATTATTAAAAAGTGCGCACGAAAATCAAGAATGTGATGATGAACCACTCTGCACGGATGATTCTCGGAGAGTTTTTGATAAGTAAATTTGAAGGGTTGGTGGAAGTTAGTTGTTCTGGAGTTCCAGAATGGAAAAGGATGGTCTTTCAGGTATTGCAGGTGCGGTTAGATTGCGGGGCAATGGATGAACATTGAACAGTTATTAGATATGTTAGGTGCCTGCTCTATCGGCTTAGTAAGCTCGAGGTCAGCTACCCCCGCTACCGTTACAACGGCCAAAATCCAGCATTCACTTGCACAAAAGACGACTGAGCTCAAGCCTTCAAGGGATCATGTACATATACGACTAGAAATGAATACGAACCCCTTCACCTTGATGCGCAAGTCTAAGAGTCAAGATAGGAGATTGAAGGGTTACACATAATTATTGATTGAATTGATCTTCTGTGATAATCGCGAATACTCTGCTCAGGAAAAGATGATCTATTACATTATTTATGTGGCTCTCAAAGATTCCAATTGCTGATCACCCGTTCTATGCTCCGAAGAGTTGGCTGGCGGTCAAGGCTGCGCTGCTTACTTTTACTTGCTTTGCTTTGGAGGAGTGAGGAGGGAGTAGGGAGTAAGGAGTCCAGAGTACAGAGTGATAGAAATGGTCGAAGTGAAGACTGACATTAGAATGAAGTGAAGGCTGATAATAGAATGAAGTGAAGACTGATATCACACTAAAGTGAAGACTGATAATAGAATGAAGTAAAGACTGATAATAGAATGAAGTAAAGACTGATAATAGAATAAAGTGAAGACTGCTATCACACTGAAGTGAAGACTGATATAATATACTGTGGTTCAACAGAACAGTTTAGTACGGCTAATAAAAGACCAAAATGCTCCGCCATACATATTTTTTGACGTGTAAACAAACCTGGACCCTGATAGTGGAGGTAATGATGATTTCATTGGTCATGATGATGTAAAAGTCTATTTTAAGGTTGGAAAGGGTATTGGTAAATTGGTAATTGGGTTGTTGTGAATTGGGGAAATGGCTAGATCAATTGAATTTTTCTTGTAGAGTACCTCGAGCGTACCTCGGGTCAAAAACACAGGGCAGAACTTCATACTTCACTTGAATCACTTCACTTCACTTCACTTCACTTCGCACTTCACTTGACACTTCACTCCCACCAAATACGAGTACGATCCACTAGAGATCTCGTATCTGTCTTCACTCCTAGTCTACTACTATTAGTACACAGTACACAGTACATCCACTATACGCGACCACGATGATATACTTTGTACTTGTCACTACCTAGTCTGTAATAAAGATTGATAGATACATTGTTAATTTGTTATAACTGTGATCATTCAATTCTTCAAAGCAGCTACCACCCACCACCTTCTATCATTCTCAAACTCAATTCATTCATTCATCTCATTAAACATCTTCCCATCTTGTGGCGGAACCTCGACCATTCCCATGTGTTCTGTTCCTGAACCTTGCTATCGATAATTATTCAATCCAACCCTCACCTCAGTCCTTATTATTACTCTTTTCTTTCATCAAACCTTGATCCAACATTTCATGCTTCTTGCTTCTTTCCTTTTTCTCAACACCAACCTTCCCAATTCTAAAACAAGTTCCAGAAGTTTGAATTTTCACACCATGCCACACAAATTCATCCATCTCCTTTCATTTAACAGCATAATTATTCTACACGTGATACAATTGTCTCCATATAATTACTCCACCGCAAAAGACGCGTCGTCACAGATATATCATCTCAAAATTCTACCGAATGTGATCTTCCAAAACTTAAATCGTGTTGCTGGGACTGCGCCTTGTCAACAATACAAATCCACAAAAAATCGTAAGTCTCGACTAGGATATCGTCTTGTGTTGTCATTGATGTGTATGGCGCTGAAATTCACTTAATTATGTTGTCCTGCCCCGGCCGCGCCATTTCTTTTTCTCCTTCTCCTTCTCCTCCTGCTTCAGCTCTTGCTTATTTGTTTCAAGTATACTCTCGTTTTGTACTTTGGCTTTCTCACTTGTTTTTATTTAATTTTCTTTCGTGTACCAAGAGTATCTTCTTACGCAACAAACCCGCGCAAAGAAACTGGAAAGTAGTAATCAGTCGTACATCTACCGTCAAAAGAGATGGACGACTATGGCGTAGGATCCAGTGGAGGTAGTGGTACCCCAGGAAGCCAAGCTGGTGCCCAAGGAAGCTATGACAGTTCCGGTAGCTATGGATCAAGTGGAAGTCAAACAACACAAGGTCAATACAATGCTCAGACAACCGCATATCAATCCGTATATACATCTGCAGCTACTCCAACAACTACCTCTAACAGTCAAAGTCAAACAAACTCCGCATTCCCAACTTCTACTTCTTCCTCAAGTGGACTATCATCAACAGATCGAACAACAATACTAGCAGGTGTTCTTGGTGGTGTTGGAGCATTATTGATCATCTCTCTCATTGCTATCTATCTATTGCAAAGGAGGAAAACTAAGAAGGCTGCTAGTCGGAAAGGAGTTACTCAGCAAGTATCTTACAATGGATTAAACTCTTCATTTGCTGGTGTACCGTTTGTCAAAAGGAATAGTCAAGGTAGTGATAGTGAAATATCTCGACCACCAATGGTTGCCGATACTTCATATCAAGGAGCATATTTGAGAGGCGGACAGTCCAGCTATCCTGACCTTTCAAGTGATATGGAAACAGACCGATTTCTACCAAATGATGAGGAATCTCAACCGAGAATGGCCGCCGGAGGAAATGGATATCACTCACCATCTAACCACCTCGGCTCTCCAACACAAAATCCGTTCACAGATCAACACCGCCTATCTCAATTGACACAAAACCGCCTGTCTCAATTGACACAAAATCGCCTTTCTCAGTTGTCACAAAATATCGGGTCTCCCACCAGACCAGGACCATTAGTCAGACATGATACCATGGGCTTTCCTCTTGACGATGATGACACCTCATACATTGGACCAGATGGTGAACAACACCGCCTCTCCAGAATAATGCACAGCCCCCGCACCTCGATCTTCGAACCAACCATCATAGCTCCCTCCCCCGTACGCCCCACCATTTCCCACGAGAGTCTTGAGCGAGGTCTCGATGGAAACCAGGATCTATATCAAAATCGGGCCGTTCCTGAACATCTTGATTCTCTCACATCAAACTACGATACTCCATACGACGTCGAGAATGAAAATGATACAGTTCCACCGATGTATGGAGGTGCCCAAAGTCTATCCCCAGCTCCTATGGAATCGGGTGCATGGATTGCTGCACGCAATCCACATCTAGCTGCGGCTTTCGGTAATGATATGCATAGAAATCCGAGCACGAGGACTCAGAGTAGTTTTGCACCTAGTGTGATTAGTGATACGGAATTGGATAGGTTGGGTGTGGGACAGAGATTGTGAGAGTGAGAATGAGGAAGCTAAAGTTATAGCGAAAGTGAAAGTCAAATGAGAATACGAATATGAATTTCATTTGTATGATCAGTGTGATGGATTGGATTGGATTGGGTAGTGAAAAGTGGTAATGTTGATGTTTGATTGGATAGGATGGGATAGTATTGGATTGAAAGTGTAGGAAGGAAGGGAGGTAGTAGGCATTTGAATTGGCGTTCTGGAAAAACAGCATATGATATCCTGGTCCGGTCAGTGAATAATGAGTTGGTAGCGTAGCTTTCCATCGATTTGATATTTATTATACTTGTCTTTTCCTCTTTTCAAAGTGAGTGGTTGGTGTATCTCACAATGGTTGTCTAGATTTGAATTGTTGAGCGGTTTATTGTAGTTCCCATGCCTGCTAGCTTGATAGGTTGGTAGGTTGGTCACTAGGGTGGTGGTCAATAGGGAGGTGTGTAGACTTGATTTGATAACTAATCTCTCGTATTCCATTTGTGATATTCCTCCTCCACGCAATCGATGGCGGTCGGTGGGCTGTGCTTCTTTCTTTCTGGGAGGTAGGCATTCTTTGGGTGGATAGGGTAGGGAGGGAGAGGGAGAGGGAGGTTAATGTAGATGCTGTGAGATATTGTGAGGGGGGGTGGGTGAGATGGGTTGTTGGGAATTGTTGGTAGTGGTTGGTAGTGGTTGATTGTTGGTTTTGGGTTGGTTCGAGTTGGTTTTGAGTTGGTGGTTTGATGAGTTGGTTTTGTGTTTGTATGTTTGTATGTTTGTATGTTTATATGTTTATATGTAAATGATTTATTCTCGAAATGAATAGATTATCATAGTAATTGATTTTTTTCTTTTATTTTCCAAGTACTAGCTTATCATAACTCGATATTACAATCCGAACTTTCACACACTCGAATCGAATCGAAAGAACTTTGGTTTCGATCTTGGTTTGTCGTTTAGGGTAATGTGTGTAAAGTAATGATCTTCTAAATTCTGTATATTTCTTCATGTGCTTCATTAATCCTAGGTATGTACACATGTATAAATGGTAATGTCTGAGAACCCCTGAATAATCCCACATCGGAAAAGTCACAGTTGTGCAGATATCCATATCCATACTCATCCTTTCAGACGCAAGCAAGCTAGGTAATTAGCTTGCCCCCTCGCGACGTACCTCGCTTAAGGGAATCCCCAATGTCGCTGTTGCTGTTTCCCAGTGATCTCTGTTGGGTTTCCTGTTGTAATGGAATGGGACTTCTTCATCTAAGTGTGAGCCATGGATAGGATAGAACGCGCCAGGAAACTTTCCCAAGAATCTGTACGATGTGGAAATGTGTGGAAAGGTTCGGGTATATGGGTCGAGACCCGAGACGGGATTTTCACGTCGATGATGATGATGATGATGGTTCATCTGCGACGTGTGTGCTGGGATTCATTGATCGAAGAGATGCACAGTGTGTTGTGCGCGAGTGTATATTGTATAATGTTTGCGATTGATGACTGCTTCCGGGGTTAGGGTTAAGGAATAAAGTCTATGGTGAGGTATCCAGGGAGGATAATTTGAGCCTTGTGGTCAGGATGAGGAACACATGATTACATTGAAATATAGACGGGGCAGGGGCGGGTGCTTGTATGTATATCCGCGAAAACTCTTTATTTGCGTATGAATTTCAGACTTTCAGTTTGATGTTTGTCTCCATGATATCAGTAAATCATGAATTCTTCAGCACATTCTGCAGGCTGCTTGGTGAAACAAGCGATTTCGTAGGTGACTTTTATCTTCAAACAGTGAGCATCCACTTCCAATACTCATGTACAGCATCTGCTTCAAAGTGATTGAAATATAATACATATATGCTAATTCATCCGGTGAAACAATTCGTATTCTCTCGGTGAACTCAAAGATAGTAGATCATTCCAAACAAGAAGGATGTAATTAAGTCTACTTCAGAAGTCACCGCCACCTTTTCCGCTACTTCTAGACTTTTTTTTATCCCCATGTTGCTTCTTCATTTTTAACCTTGCTATGTTGGCTGAAGTTTGTCTGTCATGAATATTAGCGCATTCTTGTGTCCAGAAAGGTGGCAGTATCTCAAGCTATTGAACTGTATTGCTATTATAAAGTGCTTCAAATATAAATCACAAATCTGATTTGCCCTCATAACTTGACGACGGGCCTCAGTCTTTAACTTCCGCTCGGATAGGTTTCCCTCCTGGTTGAATTTTTTGACCTTCTGGGTATTTATCCCCTCCACTTACACGGTTTGCTCGAAAAGAATTTCTTCCACCATTTATCATTGAAGAAGAAGATGTTCTATGTAGGAAGGATGAACTTCACAAATGAATGCTGCTCGAAATAACACAAAATGAAGTAAATTCATGACTTACAATTGCTTCACTCTCTGCTGTTGTTGAACTGAAGCTTTTCCCGGAACGGTTGTTCTGTATATACGTTTGATTTCTTCATTTAATCTTCGATGTGTCTCCTCTTTATTATCAGTCCGATTGCGACTACTATCACATTGAATCTGAATTGCATCAGTATTCTTCACATAGTAAGTGCCACGACGCAACCCTTTCGATATTATCAATGGCAGAATGGCATCGAGCTTTTTCATAGACCAAATGGTATTCGCTTTTGAAGATGTTCTGGAGGGGATCAGTACTTAGAAGGCTTCATCTTTGGAGTTCAAGAACGTCGGCGTACTTATTTGTCTTTTGACCACCAGGACCTCCAGCAGCTGAGTAGGTAGTCTCGGCTAGCTTTGTAGAAATAGTTGAGTCATTGAAGTTAGAATACCATATTCTGGCAACCTCAAATTCAATGTCATCTGTAGATTGAACAGAATATGGTCTACAACTCGAGAGAGTTAACCTTGAGAATAAGGGTCGTATTTGAAGAGATGGTGTATAAATTGGCTTGACAATTTGAGAAGATGGTGGCAGCAGCTTAGCTGTGAGCTTCGCAAAATAATGCATATCACTTCGACAAACTTCTTTGCTATCTCACCTGCCCGGAGGTTCATATGATGTTGGCAAGGTATTGCTTGACTGAGGTAGTATGTAAATACTTTACCAATGGAAACTTTTCCCGGTTAGCTTCAGCATTGAAGTGCAGTGTTACAATGGAGATGAGGGCAGATGGAATTGTAATTGAATTACATAAGCATTATTAAGCAAATTTACGAAACTCGTAGATCCGAGCTTTATCCGAGCCAGACTCCCCAAGACTACCTAGCACCAGTACCGGTACGGCTAGTGGAAAAAGGTCTTTCAAGATTTCTTGGCATGATCAAATTAATTCAATTCTCTCCCTCAACTCATATCTAGAAATCATCAAAAGCATTGCGACAACCTCATAACTTCAATCCCAACATCCCCAAGAAAATCATCAACTTGACGCCAGTAAACATCAAAATCTTCTACGTTACCAAGGCGACAATCTTACTTTTGATAATCTAATAGATAACTATTCTTTGACTGCAGTTTCCCCCAAAGTTTTCCATCGAGCAGGCAAATCAAATCTTGCCTAAACCAGGATTGCAAACTTGTCGCTTCGCCTTTGCCTATCAAGTTATCTCCAAACTCCATTAATTTTTATATCTGCTACTTTCTATCAGTTTGTATCTCCTCCTAGCATACGACATTGTCAAATATCGGATCCAATCAACTTTGATAGTTTGTGTGCATTCCGCACTCATAACAAAGACATTTATGACTTCAGAACCACCTGAATTCCATACAAAAATCCAATCACCGCTCTCTCCACTTCCGGTTCACTTTCCCAACCCATCTGAAATTCCTGTTCTTCGAAATCAGATTGATCCGACTTTCAACATGACGGCGACCCATGAGCCATCAAAGGCTCCTCTGGTGGTTCCTGAAATTATCGAATCCTCGATGGTTTCTGTGGATATAGAATCTCCACTCTCCGATACGCGCTTTTCAGATGCATATGATGAGAAGGATGAGGATACAACAGTAGCAAAGGCTGAGGAAGAAGACGAAGGCGATGATTATGCCATGACATTTGACTCTGATGGGGAAGAACATTCAGATAGTCGCGATCAATCACAGGCAGTTGACCAAGAGTCGAGCAGTCTTCCTAACACAGTGCCAGCGAGCGAATTGTCTAATCCTCTTCCCAACAACCGACCTGCCACATCTGATACCCAAAATGGCCCAGAAACCCAGCCCGCCCATACCATCCCTTCTCTTACTGTGCCCTCGATTCCTCAATCTACAGCTGCCCAAAGCTCTGATGATTCTCAAAATCCCATTACCAAAGCGGAAACCACAAACTCTGACGATCCAAACGGAGAAATAGACATTCAGCAGCTTCTGGACAATATTACTGCCAATGCCGAGATTAATGCACAAGCTGCCCGCCCAAATTCTTCCTCTTCTAGCAATGCCCCTCCAAAAGGTAGCTCGAGTCTACCTACCCATGCAAGCCTCCCCCCCCGCCCACAAATTACCCAAATTCCTAAACGTTCCAATTATACTTCTTTCGATGATCCCCATAAGTACAATGTTGGAGGTTCAGGTTTTGCACACCAACCCAACTCCTATAACCATTCTGGTGTAACACCATTAGTTGCAGTCGGTGCCCCTGGTACCGCTACTGATCCCCGATATGGACTTCCCCCACCCCCATCTGTTTCTTTCAACCATCCCCATCAAGATGCGAACAGCCCAAAACTCTACACACAAACCCGTCGCTTTCCATCTGACCAATCCCATGATGGACATGACAATGATGACAGACCTTGGGGACCAACAGTGCAGAAAAAGTATGATGAATTTCTTGATAGAGAACGCACATATGTCACTGAAGGGCTTTGGGAAAGATTCCCAAAAGGCTCACGATTGTTTATAGGTAAGAAAGTCTTATGCAATACCACTAATTATCAAATGTCTAATTTCTGTTCAGGTAATCTTCCATCGGAAAAACTTACTAAACGAGACTTGTTCCATGTTTTTCACAAGTATGGCGAACTTGCCCAAATATCGATCAAACAGGCATTTGGATTTGTTCAATTTCATGATGCTGCCTCTTGTTATAAAGCTTTAGAAATGGAGCAAGGCAAGGAAGTTAGGGGTCGTAAAATGCGTAAGTCATTTCATGTTGCTTTTCGAAGCCAAGCTAATAAATATCCTTCGTACAGACCTCGAAGTGTCCAAAGCACAGAAGAACACTCGAAATGCCGGCCAGACCTGGAGAAGATCCCAATCCCCCGAGCAAACAAGAGGAAATACATCAGCTCGTAATCGTAATCCTCAGCCAGAAGCTCGTAGTTCAGGCTATAATCACAACGATCGCAACCAGAATGATCGCCATAGATCGCAACCACAGCATGGAAGTCAACGTCCACATGATGGATATCGACCTGGTAGGTCGCCATCGCCAAGTCGAAGTTATAGGGGTAGAGAATCCAGAGACGAATACAGATCTACTCGTAACAATGATTCATACGATAGCAGAGATAGGCGTCGTTCACGATCTCCTTTCTCAGGTGCCCAGCGTGGCAGTTATAGAGATCGTAGCCCAAGCCCAAGAACCCGTGAAGCCAATGAAGATGGCACACTTCAAATTCCTCGACGCGAACCGTCAATGGTTCCCGATGTTCAAATCATTCTTATGGCGGAGTTGGACCGAGGATTTGTCTCCTGGGTTGAGGGAGAACTTCGTGGACGAGGTGTTAAAACCGAAGTAATGTTCCTTAGCCCTCGACTCTCCCTTCAAGCTGTTATTCGTAGACAGATTCTCGAAGGTGTTATTGCAGTTTCTCAACTTGATATGAGGTCTCAAAATGCTAGCAAAATACCTTTGCAAGTATTCGATCGCTCAGGAGGAATCAACGCTGCTGTTCGATTCGATGAGTATCAGGATTTGGAACCTAAGATTGCTGCCGAGCTTGTCGTACGCGCGAAAGCCACAGCTCAGAGACCTCAGTACGCGCCAAACCCAGCTCCGGTTTACCAAACTCCGACAGCACAACCAAATGCAAACATTGCCAACATTATGGGACAGCTGGACAATCCTACTTTGCAAAAGTTGCTCGGAACGTTGAACAATATGCCTCAGCAGCAGAATGCACCTGCTGTAGCAGCAAACTCGGCCGTCGACCTTGTTAGCTTGTTGGGTGGGTTAGCACCACAACCACAACAAGTACCTCAGCAGATTTACCAACAATCAATGCCACAAGCTGCTGCAGACCCTTACGCCGGCTATAACAACAGCGCTGCATATGGCCAGCCAGCTGCACAACAAAATGGACAAGATGCACAGCAGGTACAGGCTATTATGGCTCAATTGGCTAGATACAGACAGTAAGCGGTGGATTTGTGGCCTTTGTTCTTTTCCGATCGGGAGGCCATCGTTAAATTTGCATATAGGAATGGCGTTTCTGTATATTACGCGATGGATCATGGTTAAATGTGCATTTCGGGAGTTTAGGGCATGGCATGGTATGGGAGTCATCATGATGTTAAGAGTTTGTTTTCTTCCGTGTATGATGTAAATGATGCATGCCGTTTCAGGGAGAGCTAGCGATGAGAGCATGTTAGGGGGTAGAACAGAACAGAAGAAATCACTGGTGCGTAGATATAAATCACAGCTCTCAATAAACAAATAATATCAAATGCAGAGATGTTTCTATTTCTATGTCTATCTATATACTGAGTGAGGTCTTTTTGTCTATCGAGAAGTGTGGTTGCTTTTTCCCGTATCCTACAATTGCTGTACATGTGGAGATGATTTTTTGAATGAACAAGAAATGGAATTGCAGTGCGTGTATCTGGACATGAAATTCGTGTGCTATCGTACAAAATCGTCGTGTGTGTTTCTGGGTAACTAGAGCATCTTAGGCTTCGAGGGCCATGCAGCTGGTCTTGTAAAATGGTTAGCTGGTGTATTGGAGGCTCGAAGATCATTCGTCAACTCACCTCGTCAAAAGCAGAGTTTCCACTCCAACCTTTTCTCTCGATCTCAACCAAGCATTCAAGTGCATCCTTAGCATATGGACATCCCGTCCCATAACATCGATTCCTCTCTCCACACACGCCATCCTTAATTCTTCTTCCAACATCCCTTTCACACCCCCCTCATGCTGAATGAGCTTATCATCCATATCCAAATACTTCACTCTCCTCTCCACTTTCCTCCTCAAAATCGCATTCGGCAGTCCAGGGAATCTCCCTCCAATATAATCCCACACACTACTACTCAGACCCAAACTCCAAGAAATATGCAACAATTGCATGCGTCTCAATCCCTGCGCATCTGTTCCCGCCGGCGGAGTCTTCATGGTTAAATTTCTAAAACTAATCGCCCTCCTCTCTTCCAACTTCTTCCGATCCGCATCAATTTGTTTAGGAATCCGACATGTCCACGGCACCACACTACTAATGGCAATCACAACCAGTGGCGTGAATTCCCCACAGATCAAAAACACCAGCGCGAAGATAGGAACGCGCTTGACATCGTGGCGATTGCGGATCAGGAGTTGGAAATCTGAGCGGGAGAGCGCAGCGCCTTTTACGGCGGAGGAGAGAGACGATTTGTGTTTCTCATCGATGATGGTTTGGATGGTGCGGGAAGCGATGAAATTGTAGTAGATGTTTTTGACGCCGGTTTTGTAGAATTTGGCATAGGCTTTTCCGAGGGTGAAGGCGTATTTGAAGAAGAAGGGTTGGTTGGGTTCGCGGGTGGGGAGATCGAGGGGCGCGGGGAGAGTGGAGGGGGGGCCGTTGACGGTGTTGGTGGGGATGAGGTTAGATGGGAGGGAGGGCGAGAGAGGCGTGCTGGATTGGAATCGCTGGGTTGATGGGAGGGAGCTGAGATGGATCAGAGGTTGATGGTGAGGTTTGAGGGGCGAATGTAAGAGGATTGATGTGCGCAGACTGCGCATGGTGGTTGTATTCATCGCATTGGTGGGATGTGTAGATATTCGATTGTGGAAATTTGGATAGAGAGATAAGTTAGTAAATAAGTTATTGATTTTGAATAATGTAGTTTATCAGTACGTGCACTATATCAGTACGTGCACCACTTCAAAATTATATTAAAATCAGGGTTTTTTTTTAATATTTGTATTTTAATAATTAATCATTATTTTTTGAAAAAATAAAATGTATAATAAAAATTATAATTTAAATAGTTAAAAAATATAATTTTTATATAAATATTCTCATTATATTTTAAAAAAGATTGAAATTGTTACGATTTTCGTTACAAAAAAACTTTTTTTAAAATAATTATTATATTAAATTATATTTCTAATAATTGATTAGAAATTCTTATTATTTATATAAATAACTATAAAGTTTTTTAGGAAAAATCAAATTATATTAATAAATAAATAAAGAAAGTGCATAATTACGCATAAACGAATTTTGTATGTAAAATGAGTGGTGTATATATTGATATGGTGTATGTACTGATAAACTACGTTATTTGGTTAATAAATCAACTTGTTAACTTTCTGCAAAAATCGAATAAAATCTTTCATATTAATAACTCAAGTAGTGGCATTCTAATTGACGTCCCAAAGTCTTCATGGGGTATTTTATTAGTCGAACAGGGATTAGTTTCGTAATATATAATACATGTCATCCATTTCATCCATTTCATCCATTCCATTCCATTCATTTATTTCATCCCTCTCTCTACTGTATATGGTCTAAGCTTCCGCGCGGGTCATAATCGGTATTAGTGTAATCATCCTTCCAGTGATTGGTCAATTAATTACTTAGTGCTGATGAGTTGGATATCAGTCCGAAAGGATTCGGATAGACAGGGACTAGAACCACCCGGACATATGCCATACTCGATAAAACTCTATTCGTCCGGGATTTTCGAGTGGGCGGGTAGTTGGGAATAGACATATATAAGCATTCTGTCTTGATTTGGATTTGGAGTCATTCATTCATTCATTCTTTCTTTCTTTCAAGAAGGGTTGTTCGTTGTCGATATCAATAACCAAATCCCCAGGTGTCGGTATAGGTATACCTCCAAAATGTCCTGGCCCTACCGCATCAAATTTCCCACTCCGGAAGAGAGAATCCAAAGTCGTATTCTCCTCGATCGATATGGTCTCTACGCCCAAATGTCCATTTTCATCCCCATCATCCTGTATAATGTCTATCGATTAGCAATATGGGTTTATTTCGAGCGTCAACGATCGAAAGTCGATTACAACGCTCTTCCTAGTTCTCCCACATCGAAGAAGAAGAGGAGTTCGAGGAGCGCGGAGTGGAAACGACAGATCAGAAGCGTAGTGTGGTGGTTGGGCGGGGAAGTGGCACCGGGTCGGGGTGAGAGGGGCCAGTGGATTATGGCGGGGTTGTGGGGGGCTTGGTTGGGATTTTTGTGTGTGCATAGGACGGGTGATGGTATGATTATTGATTTGTTTTTGTTGTTGGTTGGAGGAGGTATGTTGAGTATACTGGTCTGAGTGAAGTTACTTGGATTGTCTGTATGTTGGAGTTTGTGGGAGCTCTTCTCTCGAGGACTCGCAAAGAACACCAAACGGATATCTCATCTGAGTAGATCGGAGATTTCAAGCGCACTACCCCTCCTCTCTTCTTGGACTCGCTTTCCCACCTTGAATGGATGGAGTCTCTGAAATATATTCAGCTGTCAAGGTCCTCTCATTGGTGAAACTGTGGTTGCCCAGGTCTATCTAGGACCTTGGGGATTCCCATGTTGCATAATTGAAAATAATGACTAATGATATATCCAGATTACTTTCACATAACCAAGCGATTTGGTATAGTTGCAGCATCACAATTCCCTGCTCACTATGCACTATCCATGAAGTCTTTATATTCACCACTCTCCGTATTATTTAAATCATCTCATGAACAGCTCAACACCTGGCACCGAATATCCGGCCGAGTCATATGGACTCTTCTTGCCTGCCATGCCAGCTGGTATATAAACGCTTGGGTTCAGATTGAAGTTGTATACATGAAAATCACAACACCTATAATCATCTACGGTATACTTTCTTTCTGGCTCATCAATCTCCTCATTATCACGAGTTTACCAATTGTTCGTCGTCGGTCTTACCGGGTTTTCTTCATCATTCATCTTTTTGTCGCCATCGCCATAGTTCCTCTTCTATTCTTCCATGCTACTGCTCTTCGTGTTTACATACTCGAAGCATTGGCTCTATTTGTAATCGACCTTGGTATTCGCAAATTCAACACCGTTAAAGCTTTCGCTATCATAAAACCAGTCCCAGAGACCTCACTTGTCGAAGTCACTATCCCAGTTACACCTTCGAAAATCTCTCAATTTCAATACGCTCCAGGTCAACACATTTACCTATCTATTCCTCCATCATCCGTCCCAAAATCTACAGAGTATAATCGTCATCTCTATGAATTTCTCTACAATCCGTTCACTGTTGCTTCCGTCTCAGAAACTCCTTCACCACAAATCACTCTAACAATGCGCACTCAAAATGGACCCACTACATCCGCTCTCTCTTCTCTTTCTCATCTCAGCAAAGCTCGTCCGCCACTCAAAATCGAAGGGCCCTATGGAACCTCTCGCAAATTCCCCAATCTAGCCGAGAAATTCGATAGAGTATTGCTCGTAGCCGGTGGCGTAGGCGCTACCTTTACTCTCCCCATCTACCGAGCTGTAAAGCAAGAAATGGAAAACGAAGGCAGAATGAGTAGTAATGTCAGAATGATCTGGGTAATGCGAGACGCTGCGGAATCCTCCTGGGCACTGTCTTCCTCCTCGCCTGAAAACGAAAACTCAGAATCCAAAATCGAAAATAATTCGGGAATAGAATTATACATTACTTCTCCTTCTTCCACATCTACTTTTTCGTCAAGTGAACCCGGTAGTGTCGAATTGCACAACTTGACATCTTCACCGAGTAATACGAAATATTCGAGACCGGATTTGCGCGCGATTGTAGATGGAACTTTTTGTCAGGGATTGGAGGAGAGAGTCGCGGTTCTGGTTTGTGGACCTGAGGGGATGGCGAGGGAGTTGAGAACATATGTAGGCGAGTGGGTTGGGAAGGGGAGGGAGGTCTGGTGGCATGATGAGGGGTTTGGATGGTAGATGGGAGGTTTGGATTTGGTTTGTGATAACTGCTGGTTGGTGGTAAGAGGGGTTGAGTAATCCATCGCGGTGCGGATTATGCATACCTGGTTTCTCGTACCGTGTGTTTTGTTTGGGATTAGGGATTGATATACATGGATTGTAGATCGAAATATGTCTACTACGGATCAAATGGAGAAGTCAGATTAGAGATAGTATCTTCAATTCTACACCTTATAGCGTTACTTCAAATGACCACTACATTCGAATAGTATCAATTTCACAACCACAATACTCGTCTACCTCCTCCCCCCAAAAACAATCCCCTCCCAAATAACACCATCGAATATAGTCCATTCCCGCCATCTCTACCATGTGTTCGCTACCCCTTGAATCCTTCCCGCAACACAATATTTCTTTTCCTTTTCCTTTTCCTTTTCAATTTCAAGCCATATTGAGAATACCGCTCATAACACACCATAACCCCTCTAGAGAATTCTCTAACTAACCCAGCTTTGACCCCCCTCATATACCAGCCCCAAACTATCAAACCAAACCAAAACCACGCCAGCCCTCCAAATAAAACTCCTTCGCTTACCTAGGTACCCAAAGCCATCAAATCATGAACGACCTATTCAAATCAGCCCCTCACTCCCCTCAACGACCCCTAAATCCAATATCGAACATCCCATACTACCCATCTCATCCACTTAATACCTCATTCATTTCAACACCTCATCCCAATATCCGACTTCCCAATCCACCAATCCACCAACAAACTACTCATCTACTCAACTACCAACCGTGCTCCACCCCTCCAAACCAAACCTCCCAAAAATCTCTCCATACACATTTCCTCAAACCACCGAATCCCGCCCCGCCATTCCCAAAATCATCTTTCTCGCGCGTTTTTCTGCTTCTTCTAAACATCAAGTTTAGAGTCTATCCCATTACGCCTAAAGACTTATTATATCTCATCCCCTTGTCAAAAGAAGATATATCTTCGAAGCCAACATAGCTATAATCCAGAAATCCTTCTTCGCAAGGGTTTGTTTGTGCAGCAGGGAAGTGGGTTTTGAGAAGCTTGTTTGAATATCGCTACTTTCCTTTTTCGTGGGGGATGCACAGATGGTATATTAATAATCGCAGGAGTTTGCATGACTATTGCTCAACAATCACTTCTTATCAGTTTCGTAGGGAGAGAGCAACGTGTGCCGAAATTTCATGACTCTCGTCTAATTGGGTAAAATAAGAGTCGCAAATTGTTCGTTACGCCTTGCTAAATTATTTGCCTTGATATCGTGTTTGAATGCCGTAGAGTAACGTCGAGTAATCTTTTTACGAGTCTTGGGTGGACTACTTATTCTATTGACGAGCTGCAATTTTCTTTTCATTCTGATACTAATATCTGGAGTATTGTGATTCGTGTTTCTCTTTTGACATCTGGTGATTACTATACTCATCAGTAGTTTTATGTTCCAGGAGTTGCTCTGAAGAGCCTGAAAAAGAGCGCAATGTTGATAAGAAAATTGAATCGCACTCATCTCTTCTCTTTGCATACTGATTTACGTTCTTGACATCCCGTGATGAGCAATATGGGAGAGAATACGAGTCTTCACTGTATCTTGATCTATTCAGCGTTGGGCTCGTGGTTCGAGTATCTTCAAATGGTTTAGAAATTTGGTGAATATTGAGTTGAGAGGTTCTGAGAGGACAAGATGGAGACGGCGTTGTAAGGTCAATGACGTGATTCAGACCCTGATGATCGAGCGCAGACTGAGTCCTGAAGCACCCGGCAGGAAATGAGGTGCAAATTAGTGATTTCTTCTTACGAGAACTCGCATCGATTCCAGTAAATCCTTCCATTTTAAGAGGGTTAGGATGATTTAAGACTATTGACAGAATCGAATTTATTGTGCGCTGTGCAGTGAAGGTATTTCTAAGCATACAAGAAGATACAATCTAATATGGTGTCAAGGAGATGGCAGATTAGAGGAGAAACGATCACTTGTGTTCTTGAAGGTCACTGGCAGCTTTTTCCTCTTTCTGTTATTTGCTCATCACCACAACGATAATCGCAGCTTCCTCGTCTTTAGTGACGAGACTACAATTTTGAGATTGCACAGATGTTGCTTTTAATCTTTCCCAATCGATGTGCACTGAAGGGGATATTTGCCTTTGGACACTAGAGCCACACGTGGACGAGCGTGATGTCTTATCTCGGCTTTAACAACTTGGAGGGAGGGGAGTAGTGCCTGACTTAAGAATGAATACCTATCTAGGTACGCACAGTAAGTAGATTGAAAGTAATATCGTCGGGCAGAGTTGAATGCCATCAACTTGAGAGCCGAACAACTCCATGCAAGTCTCAACAGAATCCCTGTATGATAAGGACGTGTGGATATTTCGACATGAGTGACTTGTCTACACTTGTAGATTTGGTTCACTTCTTTTGGTACATAGGTTGAAATTCAAACCAGGATGAAGTTGTTTTGTTGCACAAATTATAGAATTTCTGTGTCCAGTTACTCGCATTTTAAAGAACCACCTCTGATATGTACAATTTCCCACCTCGCAACAAACAAAAATATGGTTATCTATATGGTGCATCAGCCCTTGCTGCTGCCGCCAATTCCGGCTCCCACTTGTCTCCGTTGGCCAGTAACTGTAGAATGAGTTAGTAAGCGATGATCCGAACCCGGCGGGTTATTTGAATATAGACATACCTTCTCCTTGTTGTACAAAAGTTCTTCTCTCGTCTCAGTGGCATATTCCGCGTTTGGTGATTCCACAATAGCATCAACTGGACAACTCTCCTGGCAGAAACCACAATAAATACATTTTGTCATATCGATATCGTATCGGGTCGTTCTGCGACTTCCGTCTTCACGCTCCTCCGCTTCAATCGTAATAGCTTGTGCGGGACAGATCTAAATTATATGAGAATTCGCCACTACTCGTGAAAATGGAATAACATACAGCTTCGCAAAGCTTGCAAGCAATGCATCGTTCTTCTCCTGAAGGGTATCTTCGTAAAGCGTGCTCGCCTCTGAATCGAGGAGAAATTGGACCCTATATCCTATAAGTATTCGTTGCCACCCTAATGTATTTTTGGACTGTATACCTTCTCGAAAGGATAATAAATTGTATATCTACAAGTAATTAGCCACTGCAATATGGAACTTGAGAGGCTCAATGGTATAACTTACGGAGGTCTAAAGTACTGTTCTAGTACTACGTACATTCCCCGGAACATCTCTGACATGAGGAAGTATTTCCCTGCCTTATCCATCGTACTCTCCTTACTCTCATTCCATCTTACAGGTTTTGGCAGTCTGAAGCCGGGCGGGGGAGGACCGGCTGGGGTGGCGCCTCGAAATTGAGAAGTTGAGAAAGCTGCTCTGGATGCAACGGGTGTGTATGTGCGAATTGTTGATGCAGTCAAAGTAGTTAATGGACGACTGCGCACCACGAGCATAGTTATGGGCTTTGTTGTTGCCATTGTGGAGGGTTGCTCGTGGCAGGATTGTTGGAGATCTGTAACTTGGGTATGATATTATTTGAGGGTTGTCGGAACTTTACGACTTGATTTCGAAATGACTTTCTGTGATTGGCCAATAATTGAAAGCTTCTATTATACGCCACCACTTCCCTTTATATTTTTGAAACGGTACTATAGATTGAAAATAGTCCTCAAGATACAATTTACCATTTCAAACTAAATTTGTACCAATCAAAATTACTCTACGTAACTCCATCAATCTCGTCGGCGCACCTTCTGTCACGTGAATTCAAAATACGCTAAAGCTAAACATTCTGGGAAGCATCTCTATCGTCAAATTCGTATCTACCACTGTATCATCCACAGACGTCACTTCTAATCCTCTCCACACATCAAGATGTTCAGAACCGCCCTTCTCAGATCAGCCCGCAGCGCTGCTAGCAAAGCTGTCCAAAGACCTGCAGCAATTGCTCGTCCTATCAACCAAAGTTCTTTCATCACAAAATCTCAATTCGCCCCATCAGCTTTCCAAGCTGCAAGATGCTATTCCGCAGCCGCCGGCCTTAACAAGGGAGAAGTTGAGGGCAGAATCCTTTCTTTACTGGAAAACTTCGACAAAGTAAGTGTGCTTAATAATGTCTGGCTGGGAATGTATTAATTTGATCTGTAGGTTTCGGACCCAACGAAGGTATGATATATGATAGGGAAGATGGCCTGAACGTCATGGTTGACATTGAATAGCTTTCTGCAAGCGCACACTTCTCGAATGATCTTGGGTTGGATAGTTTGGACACTGTAGAGGTTGTTATGGCTATTGAGGAGGTTTGTACAAGGCATTCACAGTGGGGAACTAAAGACTGATGCGGCCACAGGAATTCAGCATTGAGATCCCAGACAAGGATGCGGATTCTATTCTCAGTGGTATGTTGTCTTGGTGGAAATTTTCAACAGCGCAATTATCTAACAAATTCCATAGTTGACCAAGCCGTCGAGTATATCCTCCACCAACCAGATGGTGGGTCTTCTACAATATCTTACAAAAGCAAACAGAATTGCTAACATCTTTTATAGCTCATTAGATCATGGAATTGTATAAAATGGTGACGGTCAAGACTGAAGTAAGGCAATGGGGGATTCAAGGACCTGGAATGAGAAATACAAGTGGTGAACGGGCGGCGATACAAGGGAGGGGGAACTTGTACGAGCTTCGATGCGTTCATAGAAGTGATGTGATTCTATGCGCCTGTAAAAATGTTTAGATCATCTTACTCAACAAACCTCTGTGTTCCGCTCTTAAATTTAAAACATGAAAATACATTAAGTTTGGATATGTTTCAAATTATTCTTTTCACCAAGAACTTTCTCTCCGAACCATTATAATAATCTCCCACTTCCCCGGTCAAAGAAGTTCCTCTCTAGAATATTAGCGTCCTCTGATTGCGCTATCCCTGTTCATCCACGCACCTCAAAGCTCTACAGTACAATTCAACCTACCTGACACTGCAATTGCCCCGCCCACTTTTTTACTATTGATACGAAAAAGAACGAATTCAAGAATCTAGAACTTCGATATCAATTGATTTATCGACAGAAGATAGGATATTCTACTGGCGGAATTGCTTTTGTGAGCGGTAACGCCGCTGTCTCACTGCAAAGAGGACAAAAATCCATCCCCCTTTGCTTAATTTCTTACGACATCCCCTACTCATACATCAAATACTACAAGTATAATCGATTTCGCGATACGACCCAATGTCTTCTGGACTTACACGCAGAAGAGGTGGTGGAGGAGGAGCTGGCGATACGGAAAATGGAGAATCGAGTCGTGTTGCATCACCGGCGCCCAAGGCTGGAAATTCTCGCGATACAAGCGGCCCAGAAACATCATATGAGAGCGGAGAGAATGGTCACAAAATTGCCTTTGATCCAAGAGATATTAGCGAAAGTGCAGAGAGAAGCAAACAACCTAAATTGACGTTGATGGAAGAAGTTTTGTTACTGGGATTGAAGGATAAGCAAGTAGGTGGCTTGATCTGGACAGGTGGTGGTTTGCGCTTCTGCGATTGATACTAATGCTGTGTAGGGTTATCTTTCATTCTGGAACGACAATATATCATATGCGCTTCGTGGATGTATTGTTATTGAGCTGGCATTCAGAGGGAGAGTGAGCATGCAGAAGGATTCCTCGAGGCGGCGATTCCCTCTAGCAGACAGAGTAATTGAGGTTATCGATGATACTTTGACAGGAGAAGTCTTATTGGACGAAGCGCTCAAAATGATGAAAGCGAGTGAGAAGATGAGTGTCAGTTCATGGATCGATTTGATGAGTGGTAAGGAATCGCAATTTCGCACATCTTAAGATCTCAACATTAACATTTTCTACCAGGCGAGACATGGAATCTCATGAAAATCGGATATCAATTGAAACAAGTCAGAGAACGATTGGCTAAAGGATTGGTCGATAAGGGCATTCTAAGAACCGAAAAGAGAAACTTCCTTTTATTCGATATGGCGACACATCCTGTAGCAGACGGTGGAGCAAAGGAGGAAATCAGAAGAAGAGTTCGAAACGTCCTTACGCAACGAACTGTTGTACTCCCAGGCAGTCAATTTCTCCCCGAAAACCTCGAATTCAGATATGTCAGAACAATTGCCATGGTATGTGCTGCCTATGCAGCCAACGTATTAGAGAATGCCCTCGCATCACTCGGTCACGAATCCAGAGAACGAGCATTTGCTCAAGTTGATGAGTTATTGGCAGAATATAGTCAATGGCCATTTGGAAAGAGAGCAGGAAGCTCAGCGGGAATAGGTGCAAATTTGGGACAGGTTATTACGGATGTATGTATCATTCTCCATTCACCCAGTACCCCTGTCCATGCACCCCTTTTCAAACTACATGTACTAATACCACACAAATAGGAAGTAAACAATGGAAAGGATAAAGAACTACAACTCGAAGTCGTTGCCGCATGTTTAAGTGTCTTTACCCGTTTGGACTCTTTGCTATAATTATTTCTCACACATGCAATTCGATCCACGATCTCATACACAAGGCGCAAGTGGGCCGCATCTCGATGACACTTTTATGATGGAGGGAAAATTACAAAATATATCAACACACACACACACACGCACAAGGAGATCTTTTGCTATGTCACCGCTACATCATTCATTTTCGTTCAATTGGAAGGGGAGGAGGAGGAGTAGGGGAGTCGGATATTAGACTCTTTGTTCGTGAAGGGAATGAAGGGAAGAGAAAGGGAAAAGTTCACCTAGTAGTTTCACTCATCTGTTCTTATCTGGGCGGGCGCCAGGAAATGTATTTGCAGATACGGTACGAAGTAAAGAGGAAAATTAAGATTAAGATTCAAGATTCAAGAGATGAGGGGCTTGGACATGCATAATCATCGGATTTGCAAGTGGATGTGGATGTAGATGGGGATTTTCTTGTAAAAGAAGAAGAAAAATCACATCTTACCTTACTTTACTTTACCGTATTTCACCTTACCTTACGTTATGTACCTTTGGAATTTTGTTGTAATAGCAAAAATTTAAACAGATTATTAGATTTTTTAAAAATATCTTTTTGGATGATGTTGAAGATGAAGACAGGGATGTTTGGTGTGAGTGATGTGCTGGTTGTGGTTCTGCTTCTAATTCTAGTTCTGAATATCTTGTCGTTGACCTCGCTTTCTCTCCTTGATAGATTGTTGGGGGAAGAACAATAGGGGAAGTGCAATTAGGCGATGGTTGATGGTTAATACCTAGTGATAGTTAAGAGTTGATGGTTGATGATTGAGGGTTGGTTGGTATTGAGAAAGGAGATGGGTTTGATAGACTTGATAGACTTAATAAGAAGAAGAGATGATATGAAGAGGGAGAGGAAGGAGGGAGAGGAAAGGAGGGAGAGGAAAGGAGGGAGAGGAAAGGAGGGAGAGGAAAGGAGGAAGATGAAAGGAGGAAGAGGAAAAGAGGAAGAGGAAAAGAGGAAGAGGAAAGAAGAGAAGTATCAGGATAGTCGAGTAGATAGATAGAGTAGATGTAGTAGATGTTGAAGGACTGTCTGTATACCGTTTGTCTATGTACTGCCTGTCTATAAACTATCTATCTGGAATGCTGTCTAGATATTATATGTCTATATACCATCTATCTATACTATCTATCAAATCCCATCTATTCAGAATACTACCTAGATACTATATCGAGTAATCGGGAATACCCAGTATATCATGAGATTTTTCATCCTCATCGATTTCATATTCCACCGACAGAGTACATGCATGAATGAATAAACAAATAAATAGATGAATAAAAAACGAATAAATGAATAAACAAACAGATAACTAAATAGATGAATATAAAAGGGTAGAAGGTGATGTATGATATACAAGACTCCCCAATTTGCAATTTACAAACTAATAATTATACATATCTACATAAACCTTCTTGGATCTGGATTTAGATTTAGATTTAGATTCACAGATTCATAGATTCATAGATTCACAGATTCAAAGATTCATAGATTCACAGATTCAAAGATACTATTTAATATCTGATACCTACGTAGGTCCGTTCTAAATATACTTGGTATGGGATCCTAGAGTCTGCTTTAAGGTTATGAGAAACAAAGTGATGATGATGAGTTTTAAGTAGATAGAAATCGAAATTGCTTATTTGCTCTTTGTTTTTTGTTTTTTGTTGGCATTAGCTGTGTTGTATTAAGCTACATTGAATAAGATAGGATAGGATAACATATGATGAGATTCCAAAGGAATTCGTATGTTCTCGTTTTGAGAAACATCAATAGGATTCAGTTGTTCACAAAGCCAATCATCTTATACAAAAACATTCATTGTAGATGGTGTTGTAGAAGATTTCTGTCATGACCAATGTAATAAGTACAATATCATCATCCATGTATCCATGTTGCTGGATGAGAATGGTTCTTCTCCTGGTCAGTCTACTCCATAGACATGACACTATCACTTTCCTTTCCTGTCCTACCCACCAACCACTACATCCTCTATTATAATTTTCCTGGCCTCACTCCCAAACACCTAATAAATCCCCAACAGAACATCAAGTCACAACAGCCTTTATTTTTTCTTTCCTCCACCTCCGAAACTACCCTCAAAACCCGGCCTACTCTTCTTCTTTGCACCACCAGCTGGCTTTCCACCCTTTCCACCCTTCTTTCCCTTTCCACCCTTTCCATCCCTCCTAGCCTTGAGGTTCTCTTCTCTCTTCTTTTGTTTCATATGAGTTGCCTTCTTGACACCATCCATCCTATCACCCCATTCCTTTTCACTCTTCTTCTTCGCGGCCTCCTTTCTCTTAAGGGTTTTCTTCAGTAACGAACTATCGTCTCGGACTTTCTCACCATTCACGCGCTTTTTGGCAATCAACCAACGTTCTTTCTCTTCGATATCTTGACGTTTTTCGGGATCCATAGCTTCTAGTCGAGACTGTTTCTTGGCTGCTGCGGCGAGCGCACTGTTGGCATCTTGTGGACCCTTCTTCTTTGGTATGGATTTGAGTGCGGTTAAATCTTCATTGAGACTTTGTCCATCAGCGAATGCGACTCTACCGAAAGCAAAATTGTTTTCGGGTGAGCGAATCAGCGGGCTGAGTAAGCTTCCTGCTGGACTACTTCGTGCCGATACCAAAGCGGCTTCTCGTCTAGCCTCTTCGTCGATCTTGGCTTGGAGTCGGAGTTCTTTCTTATGAGCTTTGCGTTGTTCTTCCTTTCTACGACGTTGGTCCATCAGTTCTTGGCGATTGCGAACAGGGGTACCGTCAGGATTGTTTGCTTTCCGTTGGGCTCGTAGAGCTTCGATGCGAGCTGCTAATCTAGAACGGAGAGCTTCGGAGTCGGCTGGAATGGTGATGTGCTTAGGAGGGGCGGTAGGAGGGATAGTAGAGGATGTGGATGTACCTCCACTGGTATTGTCCTCGTTTGTTGCGGAGAAAGTAGATGAGGGCGGCGATGATTTGGTAGATTCAGGCTCCTCTAGACCTTCAGCTTCGAAATGCCCAATTTCTTGATCATGCTCTGGTTCCTCATCGGCCGCAACTTCATGCTCGATTGTCTTTTGGGTAGGGGTCTTGTTAGTGGCAGTGTCCTTGGTCACTTCTTCAGCCACATCATCTTTTGTAGTCGACTCACTAGCAGGAGTGTCTTCGGTTGGTAATTCGACGACTTGTTTGGCAGCTTCCTCCCTCTTTGCCTTTTGCTTAGCGGACTTCTTGACTGCCTTTGCCTTCTTCTGTTCCTCTTTCTGGGTTCTCTTTTCCAATTTTGCCGCCTCTTCTTCTGGTGTCAAACCTTTCTTGGACGTAGAGTCTTTTGGTGTCGCAGATTTGGATGTCTCTTTTGTGGATTCAGCATCGGTCTTCAGTTTCTTTGCTGGCTTCTCCATGGCCTTTTTCAATCCTTGTTTGGGTAATTCTTTCTCAATGCCCTCGACTTCGGAACCTTCCTCAACATCCTCAGACTCTTCCAATTTTCTCTTCTTTGCTCTTTCATCCATGACATCTTTTGCGGTCTTTGCAGAATCTGGATCAAGCTTTGCGCGTCTTGCAGCAGCAGCTTGTTGCTTAGTTTGCTTCTTCTTTTTCCATTGATCCTGTATTGGAAAGGCAATCAGCATTGTGGCACTAGCAATTGAAACCAAGATGGATGAATTTTCAACATACACTGGTGTCTTCGGCATAGTAGTATTTTGCTGGAATCAAGGATAGCAATCCATCGAATGCCTCTGCATGCTCCCGCAATCTGTCCTGTGAAAAAAAATGTCAATGGATAAATAGGAAAGGCGGGGAAAGGAAGACAAACCTGAAGAGTACTCTCTGCCATCTTTTACCAGTGACAAATGAATTACAATATGAATGCTGGTAAGATAAAACTTGAATTAAATAAATGCTATCTCTTTTGATCCCAATGCAATCAAAATAACATAACTCTCATAGAAGTTGTTTGGTGTTTGTATGGTACCTAGGTATGATTGAAATTGTAGGGAAAAAGTAGGAAGCTTTTCTTCTCCTCCCTCTGTACGAGATAATCCGAGCCAAAATTAATTTTTCGAGATTTCTTTAACTCCTAGTGCACGAACTTTTGATGAGTTTTGATTGGTTAGATTGTACCAATCAAGGGTCGTATTTGTGGGGTTTTCAATGAAAGATCCATCTTAAGCGGGCGAGGCGGACAAGGTGAGCCAGTGGAGTCGACTCTCGAGTCTCTACCTCTAGTACTTATCATTACTAATAGTCTATACTCGTGCTTACTACTCCGTACTCTGTAGGTTCCTAGTAGCTACGGACGTTGTTACAACCTCCGTCCTAGGGAAAGTGAAGTCAAGGGAAGAAAAAAAAAGAAAACAAAAATCTCAGCCTCATACACCAGCCTCACACTTTTCGTCGGTACTTAAGGTTACCTACCTACCTAGTAATTGACATTGTGGCAGTGCAAAGCTGCAAGTCAATCTCACGGTTGGGATTCCTTGGTGACCCGCCAACAGATGATCTGATCAACCTAGCCAAATAATATCTGCTTGGAATAGCATAAGGAGTCCAAGAATCAAGGATTTCAATACAAAAGTCTCATCTATTAAGTATTTGTTTTCTATATCTCAATATACCTGGGTAGCCCCAAGCAACATGTGGATCAACGATATGATGTCGTGGCAATCATTATCACCGCTACATCTTTGATAACCTTCTCAATCTTTACAATAAGTCTCTGCGATTCCTTATTGCACCAACCAGCTCTTTTTCATCCCATCAGCACATCAGCCTCCCTCATTCGCCATATGAGACCCTAGGTAGTTCCAGATACCCACCATCTTTCCCTGACATATCTGGGGTACATTTTCCGCTGCCCAATATCAGTGATATAGCAAAAAGCTTGATAAATCGAAGACCCTACAACACGAAATTCTTTTCCAAGAAGGCTGAACTTCTTCGATTCGCTTCTTGTCAATAATCCCAAGGTTTATTCTGACGAATTTGTTGCTTTGCCTCTCTGGCTGTGTGTGTGTGAATCACTTCAGAGGAACGAGAGTGTACAAAGAAGAGCTTCCCTTTTCTTTTTTTCAGTCCAGTCCCATCGTATATCTCAAACTGCCGGCGAATTATGTCTCCGCAAGATTTTATTGAAGCAAACTCGCTTTCTGGTCTGATTCAGCTTGCTGGAAACCCTCCGAAGTATCCACGAAATCCAACCGAGCAGAAAAAGGCCAACCTAGTTCTCTATATCGCTAGAGTACCTGGTAGTAATGGTACGTTTGCGTGCATATAGGGCGTTGATTGTCATAGCTGACTACATTTTCTAGATATCATTCTTACCACCTTGAAACCACAACTCAAGAATGTCACATCCGAAGATGTCGCAAATTCCTTTTACTACTTGCATCTAAACTCGGATGAGGATGCCCAACTCCTACCCGAGGAGCAGCCGGTTCCTTCCCGGGCACTGTCTAAGAAGACTCTACCCCGCAAACCTCTACCCGATGGATCGAGGGCCCAGTCTTTGGATATTGACAGGCAAAGTGTATTAAACTTAGAGCGCCTACGATACCAAGCACCTGCGCTAGATATCCAGAAGGATACTTCGGGACACGATGATGTTGTGCCCCCGCGTGACAACGTTGCCAATACGCCAATAGTAGCAGAAGCAGGTAGTTCTCGGCGGGTCGTAGGTCGGCATCCTTCTATGGCGCGATCGAATACCGTCAACAGAAAGCCTCTCACGAAAATAATGCCTCAAAACTCGATATTCACTCCAGAGTCTTCTCAGACTGGTGGTCCTATTCACAATGATCTGGAAACATCACACCGGCCTCAAAGTAGCCATACGATGTTTGAAAGACCCAAACCAGTTGATGCTTCTGCGAAGGCATTTTCGATAACTATCATTCGACGAGATCCAACCTCGGGCAGCCAATGGAATGTTGGTATAGTTGAAGGGAAATCAAATCCTCCTACTGTAGGGATGACGGCAACTAAAAAACCTTACTATGACATTTCTGTACATATCACAACGCCAGGCTATACCTATTTTCGCAATCATACTCACCCGATAGGCAATAACAAGCTCGGTGGTACAGCTCAAACTCGGGAGTCACAAGGAGCTAGATTCCAGCCCTCCGGAAATGAAATCTCCACACCAGTGACGCAAAAGGCTGGGGTCTCCGGATCTGGGTTCCACAGTCAAATATCGATGGAGTGGGCTAGTTCATGGAATCAAACTTTTAAACAACACAGAAGGGCAATATCTGATTTCTCGACAAATCACAGCAGAAATAACAGCGGTAGCTCGGAAGGTCCGCAGGAATCTGATCCAGAAAATCGGTCCGCGGATGGGACCGAAAATTCTCGCGCCAAGGGTTACACATTTCTAAGTCCTTGGGGAGGGACCTGCACTTTCTCCACTGGTGGCGCTGGCCGGTCCTTACGTTGTCTACACAAGCTACCAGCCCCAGTCTCCGCAGATTCCACCACCTCTTCGTCAAGCTCTGTAACTGTGAGCGAACTTCGCTTCAATTTACCAAGTTCAGATTTATTCGATAAAGAGAAGGTGGACTTGGCTGCAGCTCAAGTCAAGAGTGGGTCGAATAAGCTCACACGAAAACTAGGAAGTTTCCGTAAAAGACTATCTAAGTCTAGCCCTCACCATCCATCTGAAACTCAGCCGCATCAAACGTCTCATGCTATCCCATACTCAAGTGATGGGGTAGACCTTTCTCATCTACCACCTAGACCTTCCTCAATTAGCTCGTCATTTGAAGAAGATTCTCCGCCCTTGACACAAAGACTAAATAACCTCTTAGACGAGTTGACAATCACGAACGATAATGAAGACCGGCTGGATCTTAGTATTGGACAGGAAAAGGCCGGTGGAGGGAATAGAGGCAAACGTGCAAAACTTGGGAAACTTATCATCCATAATGAAGGCTTGAAAATGTTAGATCTGATCATAGCGGCCAACATTGGCGTTTGGTGGACTGTTTGGAATCCAAACTAGGCTCATATTTGGAATAAGTACTTCTTACGCATTTCTGGCACAAATGATACTTGAAAGGGGACAAGGGAGGCCCGCATAATCTTTGAATATATAGCTACATGTTCTACGAAAATTTCACCTCACCAAACTTCAGTGGCGAATTGACTTTGATAGTTATGGAATCGAATAATAAGAGCTATTTTAGTGTGGCGCATTTATCGGAGGATTATGACAATTGAGCATCACGCGCTCTACAGATTATCAGCCACGTAGATTTGTCTATTTTCTCCTTCGTTCTGTGCTTCGGTGTCCCCCCTAGACACTATCTATGATGTACAATTTCAGCTTAATTTCCCGGGGACCTGTAAGAATTCCGACGATCCATCACTGTTACTTATTGACTCTTTCTATTCAAGTATATGTGATCTCGCAACGTGGCAAAATTAAATCTATCTAAAGTTCGGTATTGATGTAGTACATCGTCACATGGAAACTATTTGATTTGGCCTTTCTCTACGCATCGATCTCTCTTGGCAGATTGTGGGTTATTTTTCCACTTCCTCTTACACAAGACCACGTTCCCCTAGTATGCCTCCTTCGTTTTCTGTGTAAGAAACAACCTCATTTTAATGATTCACATAAAAAATCAGGATGGGAATACTCAGTTCCGAAAAGAGACGGTATAACAGGCAACAAGGACGATTGGCGTTTTTCTAGTGACATGAAAGCCCTTTCCTCCGCAGTGTGAATACACAATACCATCTCCTTTGTCCCATCTCGCTTGATGGTGAAGAAAATCGCGCCTACTCCTTTCAATATTTCGGCCTCTTGGCGGTTCATTAGACTGTCTGCTGGGGGCGACAACTCTTGCCTCGACTTTCCAGTGTTACTTTGATAAAAGAAGCTCCTATATATAAGGTCTCATAGTTCTCCTCTACAATTCATTCCTCATCAACTCATCAACTCACATTTACTTGAAGAACCTCGTTTCATACAAACACTCTCGCTCATTCCATTCACTTCTGCATCAATCATCCAAGTCAATAACATCCTTCCTGCAATCAAAATGCGTTTCACTATCGCTACTGTTATTCTCTCTTTGGCCTCAATGGTCGTTGCTATTCCCACTACGGAATCAACTATCTTCGCTCGTGGTGGAAGTCAAACCTGTGCTCAGGGTCAAACACTCTCGTGTTGTCAATCTGTTACCTCTGGGGGTGATGGTCTTTTAGGCAATCTATTGGGATTGAACTGTAAGTCCTGTTATATCAACCCATTGATATCCACCAATCTACAAATATCCTCTCGTCTAGTCCAGAAGATCTTACTAATAAAAATAACAGGCGCAGAAATCCCAATCCCGATCCTCGGTGTCGTGCTCGGAGGCAAATGCAACTCGGCCCCCGTCTGCTGTAATGTAAACGGTGGCGATACCAGCGTAAGTGTTTTCTTCTACGATTCTTCAATAGATTTCCGTATCTTACATGGCTAGCCCGATTGCGATGACGATTCTAACAGTGCTGGTACACAGGGTGGAATCAATGTTCTCACCAATAGCTGCGTTGCCATTCCCATCGTTCTTTAGATGAACAAAAAATCTCGAATCCTCCTCGAAAGGAGCATTGCTGATCAGCCGATCATCACCTTTTCTTACCTCGATCTATCTATCCGCCATCTCAGCAATATGAACTATATCTTGACTTCGACGATTCGGTTCGATTTAATTGGCAATATACATTACATTTCGAATACAAAATATGGATTTCAATCGCGTGGTTATGGCATTGCGATATCTTTCTTCTCTTTCTCTTTCGACACGACGACTCAGTATTCACTTTGCGAGTTTACCATCCTCTCTCTTTCTTTATCCTCAGATAGAGTCCCAATTCAACATGGAACTCTTCGCTTGCTTCATTCTTTCATCGTGCATGGATTCTCTTATACATGGGTCTTGATTGATATGTATGGTTGTTCACATAGTCTGGTTTGGAAAAATAAGAATGAATAAATTTATGTTATTACTATTATTAGATACTAATAATTACTCTAATTTTTTCTTGCTAGTAAAAGTGATATGTATCAATAGTATGTTATGTGTTATGTATCTAGGTTGCAATATGAGATTTTTCATGATATGATGGTGCATTTATATATTTTGTTTTGCTTTGGTGGATAATCTTATGTGTATGGAAATTGTAATGTAATAGTGACGCGGATGTCTTGCATGAATAGATAAATAAATGAAGGAAGGGGTAAAGTAGGTCATTCGTACAATGTCTCATCGTGTGTACGACTCGGTTATCTGGGTTTTTGCATTGTGTGACGGATGGGTAGGTGGTAAGTAGGTGGGACGAAAGGAGTTGATTCGATTCGATTTGAGATTGAGATTGAGATTGATTTTGGATATTTGTAGGTCGTGGAGTGGAGGGCCACAGAAGGGATAAGTGATTTTGATGTGTGGTTGGGGATGGGGAGGGGTGTGGTGTTTGGGGATGAGATGGGGATGGGGGGATGGATGGATGGTTGTATGTATGTGTGTATGTAAATTTTGAGTAATTACTAGGGAATTTAAAGAATGGTGTAGGAGGTTGAGTTTGAGTTTGCGTTTGGAGGAGGTGGTATGATGATATGATGATATGGCTATTGTGTATGTATTGGGTAAGTGAATGAAGATATTTTGATAGAATGGGGTGGGGGCTGTAACTGGTGAGAGGAGAAGAGAGGAGAGGAGAGGAAGGGGAGGGAGATGAGGGGGAGATGAGGGGGAGATTACGGGAAGGGTGAGTATCTATGTATGGATTTGTATTTATGTAGGTGTGTGTTTATGGAAGTATGTGTTTATAGAAGTGTGTACCCATGTATCTTTTGATAGTGGAATGATGGTAGTGTGTATTTATGGTACTATGTACCTGTGTAATTTTTGAGTGGTAGTGGTAGTGGAATGATGGTATGAAAATAGGTATTTATAGAAGTACAAATGTAATCCGATAACGGTAGTAGTAGCGTTAATAGTGGTGTAACTATTGTTCCTACCGAGTAACCGAGATAGCATAATGGGGGCGAAATTTTTGATGGGTGAGTATCTATCTATCTATCTATCTGGGAATTGATTGGATTGTCTGTTCAAGAGTTAGACTCATTAAATTAATAGTGGTGAGGAAGTCTTTGAGGGTGGGATTTATGGAATTGTGAAAGGGATGGAGAGGGACAGGGAAGGGGGACAGTGTTACGGGAGCTGCCTCTAGGGTCATGTGAAAGTGTTTAGAGATCTCTCGAGATGGTTTAGACTAAACTTCAAGTAGGAATTCAATAAGGTTGTAATTAATTACAATTCTCGTAACTATAGTAATGAAACTAATGATTGTTCTTGAGCATGAAGCTTTATATTATAATGAAATCCATTCCCTTATATAGACCTTCATTCTCTTGATCGAATCGACAAGTCTATTTGACTACTCGAATCGATAAGTCGAATCGACTTTCCTTATATAATACTTGTCCCTTGTGATCTGGTAAGGTTACTGCTTATCTAAACCTGTGCTTATTAGCTAATCTGTAACCATTATACATTCTATGCCTATTGTAGGGTAGGTGCCAAAAAAGATAGGTTATCTTAGAATCTATGTTGCGGTGCGGGTACCCTCCGTAACAGACAGGAGGAGGGAGGAGAGGGAAAGCTAAGATTGTGTAGGGAATACATTGAGGTGTAGAGGGAAATAGAGGATAGATATAATATAGATCTAGATATAGATATAGCATATAGATCTAGATCTAGATCTAGATTAGCTATGCCCTCCATCTCTTAGATATAAATCTAATCCGCTCAGCTCTGCTCTCGATATCAAATATCGTCTAGCTCTCGCTCTAAATCTCCCTATGCTCTAGCTCTAGCTATGAATATGGATATGGTTCGGTCCTCGTATATGATCTGTCCCTTCTTATATATACTATAGTTGGAACTTAGAATGGGAGGTAGTGGATTTGAAACTTCGATGCTGAGGGATATGGATTTGATGGGGTCTCGGGGTTGCAATATGCTGTTTTAAAATTGGGTGTTTCTTACGCTGATGTTGATTTCAATAATCGAGCATCTGATGATCCTGTGGTGTGCGAGAGGAGTTCGTGTTTGAGTTGAGGGTTCGGTATGACGAGGGGAGTTTTGCTAGGTGGGCATACGTGTAGATACGATACCAGAGGGCTTTTGGCTATTGAATATATTAAATCCAATTTTGATATGCATGAGATGAATAATAAATAAGACAGCCAGTAATCTTAGAAGGCCAAAACAATCGAAAATCAAAATCATGTAAAGTATTCTATGTACTATAATCGCTTCTGTCTATCATTATCATACCAAAACGCCCACTTGAGGAAATACTACCAAGAAGTTTAATTCCCTCCGATTCGTCGTTGAATTCCCAAACAAAATTAAGGATAACAAAAGTATGCCCCAATCCATGCATCAAAAAACACTCGGCATCCGTTCCAGTCCCATCTTCCTATACACTCAACTTCCTTTTCCTAATGACTTATGTACTGGAATACCGCACTGACATTCTCATCTCCGCACTCTTGTCTTAACAACAAATCCTGTATTGTTCCCAACCCTGCATTAACAAAATGATTCCATGTACTTGTATCACCATACATCATTGCCTGGGCCTTTAAGAACTGTTTCCCATCCGGCTTACAACGTTTGCATTTGAACGTATCATGAGTATCACTCGTCGTATCCTTTCTATATTGGAACAATTCTCTCAAAGAATCCAGGCTAAAATGTCTTTCGACATCTTCAGCAGAATCAACAACACAAGATGAAAGTGATTGTTTATGAGATTGACGTTGGAAGATCTTTTCTTCGATAGTACCAGTAGCGATGAAACGATATACGAAACAATCTTTCTTTTGACCATCACGCCATACTCTAGCGAGAGCTTGTTGATCAGCAGCTGGGTTCCAATCGGGATCGAAAAGGACAAGCCGATTAGCTCCGATGAGATTGAGACCGCATCCTCCAGCTTTACTACTCAACAAAAAGACGAATTCTTGACCATCCGGATCGTTGAATTTATCAACTAGCTTTTGGCGCTTCGTTACATTCATGGTACCATCGAGACGTAAAGATCCGTAGCCGCGGCTTCGACATAATTTATCAAACATGTCAAGGGTTTGTGTGTAATTGGAGATTAGCACGATTTTATCATTGGTATCTTGACGGATGCGTGCGAGCATACGGTCGAGAACTTGCATTTTTCCTGAATACCAAGGCTTGATATCACGATCGCGTCCGCGTCCATCTTTTGGAACGTAGTCTTCGGGCCAGTATTGTTCACAGCCGGGAAGATCTTCGGAAAGATTTAGAAGATCAGGATGATTGCAGAGCTTCTTGAGCATGCCGATGGCTTTGAGAGGTTGACTTCCTTTTCCTCTTAGAAGCGCTTTGATATCTGGACTAGTGATGAAATGATTATATAGATCGAGTTGAAAGGGCGCGAGACTGCAAAAGACGACGTGCTCATATTTGACTGGTAGATATTTGGAAAGGATATCGTTTGTTCGACGAATAATGAATTTGTTGACGACGTTGAGAAGTTCTTTGATACATTCGTCTCCCTTTTGTCGATCTTTATCGCTACCAGCCGCATCTCGACCACGTTGAATTGGCAATTCATATTTCTTACGAAATTCCATTCGAGTGCCCAAAAGACCTGGATTGGCGAAGCTGACCAGGGAGAAATATTCTGTCAAATCATTCTGAATTGGTGTTCCAGATAAAATAACTCTTCTAGTAACATTGAGACTATTCAATGCTACAAAAGTCTGACTGTCTCCATTCTTTAAACGATGACCTTCGTCACATAGCATCAGTCCAATTTGAGTATGCTTGAGCTCATCAACATAAAGTCGTAGAGTCTCATAAGAAACAATGATAACAGGCCTTGTAATGGAACGACCACTAGCTATAGCCCATTGTCGTAATTGCTGGATAAGTTCCTCCTTTGAAGCTTTGCCATCGATTGCAAATGGTTGAATGGCATCCGGACCTAGCCACTTGACTAATTCATTTGCCCAATTCTTGACCAAACTCGACGGACAGGCAATAATAGCCTTGTTGATAGTGGGTTTCCCGGCATCGGTAGATTGCTTCAACATTGTCCACATAAGAGTAATGCATTGTAGAGTCTTTCCCAGACCCATCTCATCTGCCATGATGCATCCATTCGCCCTATCGTCCACCATACCAGTAACGCATCTGTACATGAACTTGACGCCTTCAATTTGATGAGGTCGCAAAACTTTTGCGAGTCGAGGATCAATCACAACCGGGACCTTGGGTCGTTCACCTTCCACAACCTTTTTTATCCCTAATATTTCCGCCAGACTTTTATGTGCTAATGGGGCGTCCAACTTCACTACTGGTTTCTCGGGTTCACCGTCCTTCTTCTCGGTCTCATTCTTGGCGTCCTCTTCTTCTTTCTTGGCTTGTTCAATACTCCTTGGCTTCTCATCAATCGTAGGGTCATAAAGAACAATCGCAAACTCGCCACTAGGGTCATGTAAAGGTTTCGCAACAAACACCGCTCCCTGTCTTAGTCCAAGTGTTGGCGGCGGTCGATTTGGATTATATCCTCCCCCATCCTTATTTATCAATGGTACCGAAAATCGTTTCCTAAACATAGTATCCTTATCCTTAACTTGGAAAATAGGAAACTTATTCGATTCTCTATTCGCAAGAGCTAATCGATCCTCATTTGTCCAAGGTTTATCTCCATCTTCCGCTTCGCCATCTGCACCGCCATAATCAACCTTTCGCCGCTTTCGAGCGGGCTTTACGGAGGCTCGCGTTATTGTCGCTGAACCAGGACACCGGAATGGTTTTACTAATTTGTCGACGGATTGAGGGGTTCCGCCATATAATCGACCTCTCTGTGTCGAAGGAGGAGCATTCTCCTTATCTTCACCGGATGTGATGTGAAAAGGTTGTTTGAGTCGATCTGTTGATTGGGGAGTGCCTGCGAGTCCAATCCTCTTTTTCCCTGCGAGAAGAATTGGGGTTCGCGCCTCTGTTTGCGCGTTAACAGTATCGTTCTCACTCGGTGGCGTTATCATTATGTCGTCGATTAAACAGATCCTATATCCTGAATGTGCTACTGTGACACTTTTAAACACCCCAATCGTGATTATTTTGGTCAAATTATGTTCGCGGTTTTGCAGTTTGATGTCATTAATTTCTTGATGTGGCGTGGTGATGGAAAGAGAGGGTTGAACGATGAACGCGTCTAAACTTCGCGAGAGCACGTGACTATACACAAATACAGCACTAGCACTGTTGGTTCCTTCCGTATCATCCTTCGATATTCATTCGCCGTGCTAAATCCACGACCATCTTGACTTTCGATATCTTTGTCATTGCAAAATAGCATTGCAAAAATATCTCACAGCTAAATATTTGTGATTACTTTCCGTTTGGTCAAAGATATCACTGCTTGGTAGTTTCCCTGCCCCTTTCAAACCTTTTGCTTTCCTTTAATTTGGCATTGCATTCACTGCCCTGAAAAGATTCCTACTTATTCGGGAAGTAGTTCATTTCATATATATATCATAGTTCGATAGCTGTTTTGCTGTTTGAAAGCTCATTCTACAGATATTGATGAAAGTGCATCCATCATTGAGGAGCAGCAGTTGTATGGGTGCCGTTCATTGAAGCAAGCACATGCTGCATATCATAATAGTTCACAATCCAGTGTTTGTAGGATTTTTTGGGCATTTTCATGATGGTTGCGGGATTTTCAGTGATGCGCCACAAAAAGCTCGAAATTACCATTGCAATCTCACGCGGTGGTTAGTGTGAGCACTTGAGTGCTCTTATGTGGACATGAATACCGACAATTTCCAATCTATATTAGGACAAATATTTATCTAATTATACATTTGTTCACTCAGTCCTGTCGAAATGAACTTTCGGTCGCCGCCGTCAAACCTAATGCCAAAAATTGGCCCCAAGGATTTCAAACACCGCCAGATCCGCCCCCATCTCTTACCCGAATCAATTTCGCAATTCCACCGCTACTAGGGAGTCTATTCCGTAGCTTTCCGCCCGGTTGTTCAACTCAATATATCATCTTCTGGTGTGCCTAAGGTTTTTGATAGTTTTGAACGCGAAGCGTTGGTAACTTGAAGCCTCGCCTCCGCAACCGTTGGACAAGTGGCAAGGAGGTTCTTGTGACTTGGAGCCGCTTCGTTTGCATATTGAGATGACTTGCTGAGAGCATTCATTTGGTGTAAGGAGAGGAAAATCGGTTCATAAAGATAGGAAGGAACCCCTTTAACTTCTGCAATCATTTGTGAAGGGATTACTAGGCCAGTGATGATTCGACTATGTATTAGTGATTGAAATTACAATGTCGGGTCACGTAGAGGTCGAAGAGTGCAAAAGGCTTTTCTAGATCAAGTGGTAGCATTGACCACCGGACCCAATTTGTTGGAGAGTTTCCCTTACGCTAGGATTTTCAGCTACAAGACCTGCACCAAGCTTTCTCGCCAATGGATACACGGAATTCTGCGAGGGCATCTTGGTGAGTACCTGATCTTGATACCAAAATAAGATTCCGTGCGCCTCTAGCTACCGATTAGCGAGCGATACTACGACCCAAACCACCCAGCTCACCAGCCACCAAGTACGTTGCATTCGAGTCCATCGTGTAATGTGCTCTAGATTGCAGCAACGTCTACTCACAAATTAGCCTCGCATTTCTCATATACAGAAAGAAGGTAACTCATACCAGGACCTTTGCTTTCCTTTCAAACTCAACCACCATCTTTCCAATATGCTTATCACCTTGCAATTCTTCAAGAGCCTTTCTCAGGTCCGAAATTGATAAAACCTCTAGAGAAATGAAAGGGCGCAGCCTTTTTCTGCTATCAACTTCATAGCATTAAGACAGGTTTTCGACATCATCAAAGGTTTTTGCACTACCATATCGTCGAGATTCACGGCTACAAAGATGGTATTCCTTGCAAAAAAAACATGTCCCAATTCGATCTCTATCATTGTACCAAATGGTGCTATGCATTCCCAAGTTGCTGCAAGTTTATCTCCAGAAACAAAATTGACAACAACGTCTACTCCTTTGCCCTATGTCTTTCGCATAGTTCCATCTGCGAAAGAGTTATCTCGACTAAAGAAGATATGGCCTCTCTGAATATTGTACATCTCCATTAGGTATTGTTTTCTTCTTTGCACTGCTGATCGTTGTAAATACTTCGGCGCCCAAAAGTTGCGCAACTTGGATAAGTGCTTGTCCATTTCCACCAGCACCGGAATGAATTGAGACAGTTTCTCCCGGCTGCAGCGAACTGACCTCATTTAAACTATACCAAGCGGTGGTGAATGTTACTGGAATAGATGCAGCTTGTGGAAATGTCAAATTTGTAGGCATCTTCATCGCAAGAGCCCAGTGACATCTCGCGTATGATCTAAATACATTTCGGCCGGTCACACGATCTCCTGGGCAAAACTGTGTGCAGTTTTCTCCAACCCGAGTAACAATACCTGCCCCTTCACAACCATAGACATCACTAGCTCCCTTTCCAATGACCTGGAGAAGATCCCTGTAGTTAACGCCTGCTGCGTGGGCTTCTATCTCAATCTCGTCTGCGCCCAATGGTTCGGATCTTTGTCGGTCTTCAATGAATTCAATAGAGTCGATAAGCCCCGGGGTTTTGACAATTCAGTTGTAATGGTTGTCCTTCTTCCGGGTTCTTGTGTCTTCTCCACGTAGTTTGTTCTCTCAAAAATGTGAATATCGATAGCTGTGGCTTCTGAAACGCGGATGATATTAAGAAATCAATCAATTTCCATGTATTCTGGTTCCAACTTATTTGTGCTTTTTGACATGAGGTTGTCAATTCTAGCTATATTTGTGGCATGCCGCTCTACCCACTGATCTATTGAACCGTCCAACGCTAATGCGGTAAAGGGAACCCCGAAAACTTCTTGCCGCAGCACACGAGCAAGTCCCAGGATCGGGACTGTAGTCGAGATTTATGATGTTACCACTTCCTGATGTAACTCAAAGAATTTTACTTGCAGAAGGAAACAGAATTTGGATCGCTTCGGATTCTTTTGCGGAAATATATTTGAACCACCGGATGATCGAGTTTGATCAAGATAATGTGATTATTTTCTTGCATATTGGGCATGAGGACCAATCTCAAGCCATGAGTCAACCGAAACTTTATTCAGATGGCTTTGATCTGTGACTTCCACAACTGTGGTCTGATTGCAACATCGCTGGACAGCCCCGAGGAAGTCTACCTTCGAGACCATGATTTGCACCCGGTGCTGCGGAGTGCAAAGTACGTCGGTAGAAATGATGTCTCCCGTCACAGAGGAGACCATCCAACAATTTGTCGAACTAGTATCCCTCTCTATCGTACCAATTAAGTGCGAAAATTCAGACTCAACTTTCATCATCTGAGGAAAGTGATGATAAACGCTGACTTGTAGCTTCCGTGCAGATATTTGTCGATCTTTAAAGTGTGCTACAAAAAATTCAACTTGAATTACAGGCCCTGATATAGTTGTGCTTGTTGGACTGTTGACGCAGCTTATTGTTATTGGGCACGAGTTTTGTTCAGCTCGTCCACTTTTCATTTCTTCAATTTTCTTGCTCATCTCTTGCTCAGAACGACCAACAGCTGCCATACAGCATGCTGATGAAGAGCTCGACAGTTTGGACGCCACAGCGCCACGATAATAAGAAACTTCATGGCTGCACGAGCAGAAATTGCTCCTATAAAGTATCTAACCAACGATTTGCTTTTGTATTGGAAAGAAATGCAACAAAAACTTAAATGACTGGAATACCAAACTCATCATACCTATTTCATATGAATGGAATGGAATGTTTGGTTTGAAACTTGTGAATGAGACTTCTCTTCCTGCTATACCCGTCCTTGATACTAAGGATTTCTACATAGAGATCGGAAATTCCAATTTTCAAGCCTCTTTTTCCGGCCAGAATGTGAAATTTACGCTGTAGCAATTTATCCCGAAGAATGACCAATGACCACCGATGGTAGAACTCCAAACACTCTCAATAAATCCACAAGAGCGATTTGAACTGCAATGCAAAGAGGTTGGGAAGTGATGCCTACAGTTGATACAGGATTTTGCACGCTCCACTACCACCAGATACGAAAATGAAAACCACAGTAACTAACAGAATCAAGTTCTGCCTTCCAAAAATATCGCTGAGCTTCGCCCAGATCATGATAAGACCTGTTCACCACTTAAAATTTGAAACTAGCATGATAATTTGTAGGTTGAACACCAGCGTGTGTGAGCATATAGGAAGTGAAAACCCACGAAGCTTCATCGAATCCTTTTGATTCATTGGTAATGGAGAGGATAGAAGTACTGACGATCGATGACTCCATTTGAGCCGAGAATATCCCCATACTCAAGCTACAACAGACAATGGTCAGATAAGTTTAGTCACCCTTTTCAATAACAGGTAGAGCATGGTGGGCATACGCTAAGTGATTAGATACAGCCTCCATCCAGAGGTGTACTTATCTTCGGACACAGTTTCATCGTGATAAAGATATCCACTCGCAGGAGTCATTCTAAGCTCAACTACTCTCGAACCTACTCTGCCGAATCTTTCACATGGCTCGATATATTCGAGTTCTGTCATTGGTAGTTGAAGTAGTATCAACAGCAAGTACACTGATTTTAGAATGGGCTTCAAGTGAACATACTGCAAGGGAGACGGCTTGAATCTTCATGTGTGTCTGATGAGCTGTAAACCGAGCGGCAGCATACGACATCATTTGTATGATATCTGTACATGTATTTTATGGCTCCCAAGGTTATGTCATATCTGAATGGCACCTCTTCCATGTACTCCCTCGGAGTTGAAATGTTGTGGTACTGTACTACAACCTAATGCAAGGTTTCAAATGATCGCTAATATGCGGTGTAATTTGGCTGCCACTTTTAAACCACGATTGCACAAATTGCTTCGAGTTTCACGGTCATGTAGTGGAAGACGATGATACAATTTGTGCGAAGCTAAGCCTGTAAGATCTGCAAATAAACTATTTGTTGGATCTAGAGCTCAGAATAGGTGTGCCGAATATGAAGCGGAAGCATAGTAAATCCGAATAGAGAAGTCACATGGTTTCGTCAAAAGCAACCTTGTAGGAGGGTTGCATCCCATGACCTATGTACGTAATTCTTCTCTTCTCCTGTCTTCTATCATTTGCAGCCAACTCGTCCCTTGTGTACCATTAAGCTCTCAACTTCTTAAAGGCCATCGCTACAGGATCTCAGAGATTATCGATTCTCCTGCCGATCCTTATGTCTGACCCCTTTACCGACATACATTTCGGGGGTACAGCCTGTCTTTGTCCTATAGGGGTTTCAATCAACACTATAGTTTGTTTTTGAGGTCCGCATAATTTGACTGGATTTGAACTTTGAATTGAGTCACCATAACTTCTCTGGTCTCCTCTCCTTGTGCCACCGATAGAATATGAGATGCCCTTCCCAAGAGGAAAACCTCTGTTCATCTGTAGCATGGAATGCTTCTTGGCTCTCCATATTTGTGCAGTGACATCGCCGATCCAAAGTTGGTCAATGTTAGTTCCTCTTGAGATGGAGCCTAAACGAGTAACGACGAAAATATGGAAGTCATGTAATTACAATGCCTCATGTTGATGTTGCACACGCCTTTCAGACTTCCAAAGCAAGTTTTTGAAACTCGGGGAAGGGGAGAAGGGGTTTACTTCCAAGCACTTCTGTATTACTTTTTGTCCAAAATCTAGGGCGAAGCAATTCCAGGTATCTGTCGGTGTCGTCTAAATTTGTGGACCTCTCTGTATGTAAACAGAGCCCTCTCGTGATAAGATTGTAATGAGTGTGAAGCAAGGGCCTTCAATTCCTAAATGGGACAAATGACGCCAGCCCCTGAGTTGCTACCCTGCCATTTTAATATATTAGAACCTTACGTTATAGGAGTTGTGTATCGAGTAGAGTCTCTTGAGTGGATACTCTCATGGTCCTGATGGATCCCTTGATCTCTGACTGTTTGCTTTGGTTCGGATTTTCATTATTCCGTTCCAGAAAGCTCATTCTTCGCCAAGGAATATTCCCCGCCAACGTATATCCCCGATCCTTTCTTTGAACCTCTAGGGTTCCAGCAAAAACGAGCGAAATGGGTTCACATTATTGAGAGTCTAAATCAGTATCGGTCGACATCTTACTTTGAGTTACAAAAGCGTCTCTGTTACTTATCGCCAACAACGATAGCTATCTTTCTCTCATAGATAAAGCTGGAATTGAGCGAAGGAACAGTGCAGTTGTTTACTGTATACAGTGAAGCAAGCCACACACGGCATTCAGAGAAAGCGCTGGACGTTTCAGAGCGGGAACCAATCTACAGCCTATCGGCAACTTATCGCCCAGATTTCAATCGACATACTATCCGTTGATCCGAGACATGATCCCACGATAACGACAATTGCTAATACCCCTTTATTATCCACATAGATCGGACAATGTCCGCAGATTTCTGGGCTGGTTACATTAGTGGTGCTATCAGTATTATAATCGGCAACCCTCTCGATCTTATCAAGGTTCGTCTTCAAGCCTCGAGTTCATCACGTGCCAATGGTCTCTCTTCGACTCTCACCCCTCTCACTTCTACTCCGCCTACTACCGCTTTGTTAACCCCCAGTTCCCTTTTCCGTGGAACTGCCGCGCCCATTCTTTCAACCGGCGCTCTCAACGCCCTTCTCTTTGTAACTTATAACAGAACACTCTCGTTCTTCCATCCAACTTACACCCCCAACCATCCGGACTCCGTACCCCTATTCTCGACATTTCTTGCAGGCGCTATTGGTGGTCTCTGCTCCTCTATTGTTTCTACCCCAACAGAATTGATAAAATGTCGCGCTCAACTCTCTAGCCCTCCCGTCTCTTCCCTAGCGATAGCTCGCTCTATTGTATCTACAACCGGAATCCGAGGTCTGTATTTCGGAGGTGTAGTTACTGCGTTGAGAGACAGTATAGGTTATGGGTTCTATTTTTGGAGCTATGAATTGTCATCGCGTCTCTACTTTTCCTATGTCCTCTCGTCATCGCCAGGAATGGAGGATACTACCAGTTCTACGGACGAAGCAGTCAAAATTCTCCTCTGCGGTGGCTTAGCCGGTGTGGTGACATGGGCTAGTGTTTTCCCCCTTGACGTTGTGAAAACAAGACTTCAAGCTCAAATTCTCGCTCCTACATCCGCATCAGAAACTACATCACTTCTGATTGGATCTCCACCCCACAAGCCCAGAGGAACCTTAGAAATAGCAAGACTAGCATATCGTGATGAAGGTATTCACGTGTTTTTTAGGGGATTGGGTGTATGCAGTTTGAGGGCGTTCATTGTGAATGCAGCACAGTGGGCAGCATATGAGTGGATTATGAGGGAGCTCGGGGCCAAAAGTGGGGTCGATATTGGCATCAAGGATAGAGGCAAGAGTGAGATTCTGATTTAGAAGGGAAAGATTCAACTTGAAGATTTCCTTGGGGGAGATGAAACTTTTGTAGATGGTATAGACACAGAGGATGGGGAAGAGAAGAGGGATGAGGTCGGACAAAGAGTACGGTTAGAGATTAGAGATAGAACATTTGAATAGTGGTTATAGATTCAGACTGAGACTAGATGTGTAGAACAAAATCAGACGAGATGCTCTTGAAGGTACCACCGTCATGATAGTGGTTAGCTCAGGTGTAAGATATTCCAGTCCAATTTCAAGGTTAGCTTGTCTGTCACTTGGTGATCACTCCACGCTAATGTTTCAGCCAACACAAATTAATTTGTATTCTAGATAAACTTTGACATTTATGAAATACTAAGCGATTAAGTGCTAAAACATTGACCACCGTTGGCGCTGACAACACTACCAGTCATCCATGCACTCTCTGGACTACAAACCATACCAACAATGCTAGCAATTTCTTCGACGTATGCTGGACGACCACCCCATTTCTTACCAACTGCCTTGACTTCCTCGGTATCCCACTCACGTACACCTGACAATGGGATCAACGGACTCCATTGTGCCTGAGCTGCAAGCACATCGTTGCTACATTGACGGAACATATCTGTGAGTACCGAACCAGGGTTGATAGTGTTGACGGTGGCATTCTCAGCCAACTCTCTGGACCAAGTTCTTGTCATAGCCTCAAGTGCACCCTTCGTTCCATTGTAAAGCGTCAAGTATGGAGTACCGACCTTTTGTCCAATACTGGAGACGTTTACAATTCTTCCAGATCGATCTGTTGGTAGGTATGGCTTGCATGCTCCTGTAAGCAAGATAGGAGCGAGTACGTTAGTCTCGTATGACTTGATAAAATCCGCGTGCGTAACTGATTCAAGGGGACCAATGCCAATCATAATAGCAGCACAATTGATCAAGATATCGATTTGTAGCTTGTTGGTATTAGCATTGGGAGGCATCTTTGAATTGCAAGCCTCGATGATGGCTGCACAGCCTTCAGGTGTAGAGATGTCAGATCGACATGGCACGGCAACAACGCCATGGTTCTTAGTAAGCTCTTCCGCGAGTTCAGCAGCAGAACTGTCAGAAGCCTCGGTTAAATAGCTGATTAGGATGTTGGCACCCTTAGATGCGAGATTTCTAGCAATACCAGCACCAATGCCTAGAAACAAGGTTAGCTAAGACACTGAGAAACGCGCCATTTATTAATCCTTACTTCGTGCCGAACCTGTTACAATCGCAACCTTGCCTTCATGCACTCGACCGGTGTCCGTGGTCTGTTTGCTGGAAGCCATTTTGAATGTTGGATCACTAAAAAAATCTTAGGTACTAAAAATCTAGTGCGGGTAGAACGTAAAACGTAAAACGGTAGTTTTCCAAAGCAAGTGACGAGAGGGAGAAAAGAAGAGACTATCAACCCCCCACGTTTGCATACCAATGTATGGGACCCATACTATGGGTAACATGTCCATGACACATGACGGTGGAGCAAAACATTACTGAAGAGGTAACGAATGGTGAGATTTTGGGAATCGTCTCCACCCGGGGAAGGACAAGTCCAAAGCCTCCTTGCGAAATCTCTCTTCACTGAGGGGTCATTGGTGGTGACCGATGGGAATTAATATCTAAGATCTTGAATAGGACACCGTACAGAGCTTGTCAAATTGTCGATTGACTGGGGTTTTGACCCTTCCGTCCACAAAAGTCTATCGAAATTGAACCCTTCTCTTCTGGAAACAATCTAGTGGGTAAAATTTACCGAAATCCTGAGAAAACTTCAAGTTGCACGCAAAATTATGCAACGAAGCAGTTGCCAAGCCTATTAATCGGAATGAGTACGTGGTTGTCATTAGCGAATCAATGAGTTTGCCTTGTTTTTGTCATCTAGAACCTTCATTTCATGTATAATATCGGAACTATACCTCTGTTAAAGTTCACTAGTGACTAACGGGTATTCTATGGTTCATCTTAGAGTTTCAATACCTGGTAAAAGTTTAAAAATACAGAACTAATCCATCAAAATAAGTCCACTAAGAGTCTTGCACTAGCCTAAGGAGGAAATCAGTTGTTTAACGACAACAGCCGAAAAGTGGAACAAGCCCTGTCAAGTTTCTTAGAGTAGTTCTTTATAAGGCTTTTG